CTTGAAGACAGCCAGGGGTACACAAAGAAAGCCTGCCTTGAAAAACCAAAAACAAACATAAAAAAGTAGCTCATAAACTATGGGAGCTCTATCCTAATGCTAAGGTCACCATAGCCTCCAGCTCCATTCTTTTTTTTTTTTTTTTTTTTTTTTTTTGGTTTTTCGAGACAGGATTCTCTGTATTGTTTTGGAGGCTGTCGGTCCAGCCTGGCCTCAAACTCCCAGAGATCCGCCTGCCTCTGCCTCCCGAGTGCTGGGATTAAAGGCGTGCGCCACCACCGCCCAGCCCCAGCTCCATTCTTCCTGCAGCAAATCCCACTATTCTGGATTCCTTTCTTTTCTGGCCTCACTGGGACTGGTCTTTTACTTTTGTATGCAGTTTTACTCAGTTAAAGTTAAAACCTTCCTTTTTGACTAGTCAGACAGGGAGAAAAACTATAGGATGTTTCTGTACACCATAAATATACATTGTTCCCATTGGTTAATCATAAAAGCTGTCTGACCAATAGCCTGGCAGAATTAGGTTAGGCAGAACAATCAAACTGAGGATGAGCAGAGTCCAGGGAGACATGAGCCAGCTGCCCAAGAAACAACATTCCAGCAAACTGGTAAAGCCAGGGCCACCCATTCTATATGGAGAGATACCTTCCTCAGCCTAGGCACATGGGTGTAGGGAGTGGAGAGGTGCCTTGGTTCTGCCTCAAGATGATGGGACAGACTTAGTAGACTTCCTGGTAGAGGCCTTACCCTCTCTGAGGAGCAGATGGGAGGTGGGGGAGGGTAGAAAGGCAAGAGAGAAGGGAGGGAGAACTGGGACTAGAATGTAAAAATAAATTAATAAAAAAAAAAGAAATAAGGGCTGGAGAGATGGCTCAGCGGTTAAGAGCACTGGCTGCTTTTCTAGAGGACCCGAGTTCAAATCCCAGCACCCACATGGCAGCTCACAACTGTGTATAGTGAGATCTGATGCCCTCATCTGGTCTGCGGGTATGCAAGCAGACAGAACACTGTATACACAAAAAATAAATAAATCTTAAAAAAAAAAAGAAATAAAAATAGACAGAGCTACATGGCAATACATGAGTAATAGAAATGGGTTGATTTACCCGGGAGGTGGTGGCGCACGCCTTTAATCCCAGCACTCGGGAGGCAGAGGCAGGCGGATCTCTGGGAGTTCGAGGCCAGGCTGGACTGACAGCCTCCAAAACAATACAGAGAAACCCTGTCTCGTTAAAAAAAAAAAAAAAAAGAAAAAAAGAAATGGGTTAATTTAAATGTAAGCAGTAGTTAGCAATAAGCCTGAACTATAGGTCAAACAGTTTGTAATTAATATGTTTCTGTGTGATTATTTGGGACCGTGCGGTCGGGACACGGAAGCTCCATCTCTGTTTACAGAGACTCAAGTCTTCCACAAAAACAGTAATCGCTCCTAACTGCTGAGCCATCTCTCTACCCCTTTTATCTTTTTTAAAGAAGCTGGGCTAGGTGCTGGAATCAAACCCAGGTTGGTGGCATGGTACAGTTGGCTACAATCCAGTTGCCTTTTTGGGGGGGGGAGTTTCGAGACAGAGTTTCTCTGTATTGTTTTGGAGGCTGTCCTGGAACTCACTCTGTAGACCAGGCTGGCCTCGAACTCACAGAGATCCACCTGCCTCTGCCTCCCGAGTGCTGGGATTAAAGGCGTGCGCCGCCAATGCCTGGCTCCAGCTGCCTTTTTTAAACTGCTTGTTCATGACCTGGCACATGTGTAGAGGTCAGAAGACAATTTCAGAGAATCTTTTCTCCCATGTGGATTCTGGGGATCAAACTCAGGCTTGGCAGAACCTTTACCTACCGAGCCCCCTACTTTCCTTCTTATGTGGTTACACCAAATTCCTCTTTCTGTTTGTGTTTTGAGACAAGAGTTTCTCTGTATAGCCTTGGCTGTCCTGAAACTTGCTCTGCAGACCAGGCTGGCCTCTGGCTCGCCGGGAATAAAGGTGTGTACCACCTGGCATAAATTACATTTTTCTTTGCTTCTCCCAAATCTGGCATTTCAAACCCTCTTTATAAATCTAACTAAAACGCTACACTGCTGAGTATCTCTTAACTTCTGTTCTCCTTTGTGTGATTATGTATACAAACACCAAACCTCTTCTAGTGAATTCAAGTCAATTCTAAATACTATTACTAGTAGAGACTTATGTCTCACCTAATGCATAATAAAGTAGGAAATACCGGGCGGTGGTGGCGTACACCTTTAATCCCAGCACTTGGGAGGCAGAGGCAGGTAGATCTCTGTGAGTTCCAGGCCAGCCTGGTCTACAAGAGCTAGTTCTAGGACAGCCTCCAAAGCCACAGAGAAACCCTGTCTCGAAAAACCAAAAAAAAAAAAAAAAAAAAAAAAAAAAAAAAGGAGGAAAAATACTGTTCATTTACCCGACACCTTATGGTTGGCAGGCATAGGCCATCCCTGTCCAGAGGTGACCTATGACCACACATCCTGGAGGGAAAGGATGCTTAAGGCAATAAAGGAGTAGCACACTCCTCCTATACACATCAGACTCAACTGCTCCTTACGGTCCACTTGCTTATGCATTTTACTTCAGACACCAAAACAAAGAGGCTCAAACCCCTGCGTAATCCCTGAGATCTGATTAACATCTCAGGGTGGTAGTCAGGCTTCATGGACCCACTTATTCTGACAAAAAAAAAAAAGCCGCTGTGTCTTTCAAATTACCTAGTGCCTCTCAGAATATACGGCGGTGAACGTTAATCTTGTTTTTGAGACAAGGTTTCTTTAAGTAACCCTGGATGTCTTGGAATCCGCTATGTAAATCCAGCGGGTCTCCTCCCCCCCCCCAACCACCTCTAATCCCGCCTCAATGCTGGGATTAGAGACCTCCGCCACCACACTCAGACCCTCACGCACTTGTTTTTTGTTTTGTTTTGAGATGAGGTATCTCTATAGTTAGCCCTAGTGGTCACAAGTATCATTCTCAACTAGGCCATGAGCGAGTAGCCTTCCAGAGCACCAGCCACCCTTCCTATTATAAGTTTCGCCCACTGCCTTACCCCCGGCCCAGCCCGGGTACGTAGCCGAGCGGCGCGGGCATGCCCAGAAACGGCTTCTTCTTCTTGTTCATGGTGGCGGTGTTGGCCGAGGCAGAGAAAAAGACAGAGGAGCAGGTACGCGGCCGAAGGTGCAGAACACTCCCGCTGTCGCAGCTGGAAGAGATACAGCTACTAACTACGTCGCCTGCGCCCCGGAAGTAGAGAGTGAGGTCGCGCAAAGCCCCGCCCACACAGAGCTTCTGGCGGAAGTCAAAGGCGTGGGTTTGCAAGGCGTTTCCGGTCGCGGCTGCTGGGTGGGTTTGCTGTGGGAAGCGGAGCACGCGTGCGCGCGAGCGCGCGCGCAAGCCACTAGCCATTAGCGCAGCGGGCCGCGCAGGCAGACGTAAGGGTCCTGCGTTCTGTTGCCGTGCAAGGAACGATGCGCCGCCTGAGCCCAACAGGCTTGTTCAGGAGCGTCCCGGTGCTGGCATGGCCTCGAACCTGCCTAGTCTTAGAAGACTGATTACAGCGAACGCGACCAAGACTTCCGACTTGCCTGGCCGTGTTGTGTGACCACCGACCGTCGATACTCGGTGCAGTCTACAACTGCTGCTCTGCGAGCTCAGCATTCAGAACTGCGCCCCCTCCCGCTCCGTCCCACCCCCGTGAGCCCTCGGAGAACAAGTGTATGGGCCGGAGTTACAAGCTCTGGAGTGATTGTGTGCCCGGTGTCTTTAGTGGACGCGCACCACTGTACTCTACACAGATATTTTCTGCCTGTGTGCAGCCCTACCTGCAAGACAATGCCAGTTCCACCTGTTGGATAATAATAGACTCAGGTCATGAGCCAGGCTGTTCTGAGCAATAACCCAGAGGTATAAAGGATTTCTTAGCCCCAGGAATGGTGAGCTCTACCTGCAGAAACAATATGCTAGGGAAAACAACCCTGCCCCCAGTTAAATCACAAAAATAGCTGTACCTTCATGGTAGCTACTAAGTATATATGTATATGTGTGTCCCAGCCCCTCTATATGCTCTTCTCTTTCATCCAGTGGAAAGGTTGGGGCCCCTCTGTTTCAATAAAGCAGTCTCAACCTGTTGACGTAGAGTCTGCCTCTCTGCCTCACTGTTTTGTACACCCACACCTGGGGAGAGCACCAGACTCTAGGGCAGACTGAAAAACCTGCAAATTACTCTATGCTGGACCAGACAACCAGACTTCTGAGTCCAATGATTTTCAGTAGGGTACTAAATCAAACAACCATTCTTGATTCCCCAGACAAGCTTTTGAGTCTGTGAACATTGAACCCTTAAGAATAGAGCCCGATTCAGGGGCTCAACAGAGAGGCATGGTACTGCCTGGAGTTCAAAGTGACCCGCAGACAAGTGTCTCTGGAAAGTGGTCTGAGATAAGAGAATGCTCCAGTAAAGAATGAAAGTGGGGATGGAGATAAAGCGCGGTGACTGTCTCATATTTTTGCAGAAGACACGGGCTCACCCACAAGACAGTTCCCAGATGACCGTAACCCCAGTGCCGGGGGATTCGATTTCCGCTTCTGGGCACCAGATACATGCATAGTGCAAACATAAACATTCAGGCAAAACATTCAAAAATTTTAAAAGAGGATGAATAAGTTAGGACACAGGGGTATTTGAGAGAGATTTATCCACCCTTGGCTGTCCAGCTTAAGTGTGATTAGGGCCCCCACTACTACCACACCGAGGGGACTGACAGTTCCTCGCTTGCCAACTGCAAAGCTACTCCAGTACGTTGCAGAAGAGGCTGGTCCGCAGAGCCTCTGTACCCAGGTGCGCAAGGACGCCTTTTGCCCTGGCGGACACCCTCAGCATACGCAGCCCGCGCGCCGCCGATACACCTCCGAGCTCCCGGAGCGCGCCTTGCGCCTAGGGCTGGGCGGCAGGTGCTTTGCCGCGCAGACTCCCGGGCAGCGGGGACCGGCTTGGGCACGGCGGGTTCGGGCGGGTGGGGACGCGGTGCGCGTTGCCCATCGGCCGTACTGGCCGCTTGGTACTCCACAAGGGGCGTGTACCCGAGCCGCGCACTGGCGGGCTCCATGTTCACCGAGCTGAGGTCAAAGCTGAGCCCCCCGCGAGCTCGCGCCGGGGCTGTGCGTACAGGCTTCGGGGAGCGCCCGGATGTGGACGGTGAGCTGGGATAGACCCAGGAGCAGGAATAGCGTGGGCGGTGGGGTGGGAGCGGGAGGGATATTGGGCCCAAAGATAGCACTGGGGCTGGACTCAGCGGGTTTCCGGGGGCGGCCACCGCGGGGAAGTCTTTGTCCAGCCTTATGGGGCAGGAGGGTTGGCAGAAGGGCGGCGGTCAGTCTCAGGCCTTGGCTTGGGATGGGGATGACTGTCAGGAGCTTCTTCACCAAGCTGACACCACACTCTGATCACCCTTTACTTCATACAGAGAAAACCCTCCCCAAGCCCTAACGTTGGGGCCAAGGCATATAATCCTGAGGTCGGGATTGGGAAAGGCAGACCTTGGCCCAGTGCAGGGAGCAAATAGGCGGGGCCTGGGCAGGCCTGGCAGGTGCGGCTGGCTGTAGCTAAGATGTTAGACTGGTTTCCCTTATGAGGTGCGTGCATTCTAGCCCTAATCCAGGGAAGGCCCTGCGAAACTCTCAAACTACACTGCCTATTTCCTGGATCTTGCTCACTTATACGTCTTAGGTACTACAGGCTACCTCAGAGTGATGGCTACACATCTCTTAAGCCCACCTTCTTTTTCCTGTTGGCTTGGAGGCACCACAGAGTCATCTGTCCATAGTCTGTGCTTATGGGTGCTATCTGTGTGCCAAGACCTGGCAAACCTTAGGAGTTGTCCCCAGACTGATGTCAGTAGTAATTCCCATGAATGACTCTAAAGCTAACTTAACAAGTGCAATGAATTAGTGGGGAAACAAGGTCCCCAGTACATCTGTACTGACCAGTCCCTTCCTAGCTGGCATTCTATTCACAACTGAGTTTTTCTGGGGTGAAGCAGAAGCCACACAGAAGGGAAACCAAGCATGTGTGTGACAAGTTCCTGTTGTCAGCTTCCCCAAAGTTCAAACTTTTTGTCAATGAGTCATAGTTAGTGACTGTTGAAGATATAGATGTATGTGTACACCCTGGTCCTGAATGACATGTGGGAGGCTTATGTGCCAGCCCCCAAGGCAAGGGCTAAGTAAGTCAGGGCAGCACTGGAGACAGCTTCCCTGGCCTAGCTATAGGGAGGTGCATCCTCTAATCTGAGCACACTTGGGGGCAGAGTGTGGGCTATCAGCTGATAAAGGGAAAGGCACGTCCTCTTTATCTTCTGAAACAAGTCTTCAAGGCAACTCTTGGAATTTTTCTTCTGCCTCAGGGGCTTGAGATTCCCCCCAGAGGAGAAATTACCCCCTCATTGGTAGAAGATTTACTTGTCAGGAAGCTGGCTCACAGGGGAGGAGCCAGTCCCTGACCACTCTGACTAGGAATCCTGCATACAGCCGCTGCCCATTTCAGCTTCTGCCAGACCCTCCTAGAGCACACAGTATCAGCTGAGAACATACCCTGCCACCTGCCTCGGACACCAGGCACTAGCCTCACCTGGCATGATTCCCGTAGCCAGAGGGCATCCAGCAGCAGGCCAATCAAGCTTCTTCAACAGCCGGGCTCGGAAACCCCCCAGGTACCTACCTACCCCACCTAATCTTAGCCCTTGCCCTCAGTTTTTATTACCTTCACTCTGCTGACCTTACCTCCCCACCTGCAGGCCCGGCTGTACTCTGATCACTACGGCTTGTACCATACAAGCCCTTCACTGGGAGGCCTGACAAGGCCAGTGGTCTTGTGGAGCCAGCAGGATGTTTGCAAGTGGCTCAAGAAGCATTGTCCTCACAACTACCTCGTCTATGTCGAGGCCTTCTCCCAGCATGCCATCACTGGTATGGTGGGTCATGGGTTAGGGAGGGCCAGAATACTCAAGGGAGCCTCCTCCTCACTTAGTCAGCCTTGTTTTCCCCTGTATCCTCCGAGCCAGCCTCCTTTCTGTGCCTCTCCCAGTCTCTCTGCTCTGTCTTTTTTTTTTTTTTTTTTTTTTTGAGGCAGGGTTTCTCCGAGGCTTTTGGAGGCTGTCCTGGAACTAGCTCTTGTAGACCAGGCTGGCCTCGAACTCACAGAGATCCGCCTGCCTCTGCCTCCCGAGTGCTGGGATTAAAGGCGTGCGCCACCAAACGCCCAGCTTTTTTTTATTTCTTTTTTTTGTCTGCTCTGTCTTTTGATGCTTCTCTGATTAGCCTCTATCTTTTGATCCGTCTTGTCTTCCTCTCTACCTTTCTCCCTTTAAGAATCCCTGAGTCTCTGCTCTCCTTTCTTAGTCTTTGATGTGTTTTTGTTGTTGTTTGATGGAGAGTCTTATTGTATTGCCTATCTACTTTGCCTCTTTTGCCTCACTGCCTTCTTCCTTCCCTCTCCCTAGGCCGAGCTCTGCTGCGACTGAATGCAGATAAGCTGCAGAGAATGGGGTTGACCCAGGAGGCCCAGAGGCAGGAGGTGCTGCAGCAGGTGCTCCACCTGCAGGTGCGTGAGGAGGGGCGGAGCCTGCAGCTGCTCAGCCAAGGTTAGTAGTGGGGACCTAGAGTACCTGGGTTAGGGGAAGGGACTAGGCTGAGGGTGTGGGATGACTATTCTGACCATAGGAGGGTGGTTGGAGTCATCTGGTAAGAACCATCCTGGGGTGTGCCAAAAATCCAACTGTCCCTCCTATCCATCCTACAGCTTCCTTCGGAAATATGTCCTAGCTGCTGCCTAGACTTGGACCCCAGACCCCAACACTGTGACCAGAGCCCACAGCCAAGGATGTGGCAGAGCTGGCCCTACAGCCCCTTTGGATCCTGCAGGATACCCTAGTGGCTAAACCTAGCCCAGTGAACAGGGAGGGGCAGGACTGCCACCTCCAGGTTCCTCTGGAAAGGCACTATAGGTTCTGCCCTGTGCCTGGGTGGGTGGTTGCTGCCTGCTTGAAGACCCTTCTTCTGGGATCCAAGCCCAGATCCACCCCCTGGTGCTGCTGGCAGCAAACAGGGCAGCTGCCTGGAGCAAGAGTGGGGTTTGAATGTCCCCAGACTCCCAGGGAGTCTGTTTATTTATGTTCCCTCCAACATGTGACCATCCCCCATCTTCTCAGTCATGAGCTCTCCCCTTAAGTCTTTTAATTCTGTGTTTTCCCCAGCCACCTCCAGGTCAGCCACACAGTGGGACAAGCTTTCTTGGCTCTCTTTCAGATGTATCCCTCCCCTAACCCTCTCAGAGTATAACAGGCCCAACGTGTTATCTACAGTGATGGTCATCAGCCCAGCTAGGTATCCATGTCATGTGAAACTTCAGCACACCTTATCCACTCATGAGAAGTGCTCAAGCTCCAAGGCCAGTGTGTGGCACAACACAGACGCCAGTGCTGTACAGGTAACTCCATGTCCAGCCACCGGTTCAGCAATGTTCTCAACCTTACCCTTGAGAAAGTCTTACTTTTAAGCATCTTTCCTATTTCCTGACTCTTAGAGACCATCTTGAAGAAAGAAACGTGTGTGCACACTGGAGCGTGTGTGCATGCACGCACCTCTGCAGCTTTCCCAAGGAAAATCTGTATTTATAGTTTTTTCCCAAGAAAAGTATGTAGGGATGTAGACACCTGAGCAACCCTTCCTTGGGTATTTGGGGGCTGGTGCTGCCAGGAAGAAAGACAGTGAGGATGCCCCTGGCAGCTCACTCTCAACTCTGCCATCTACTAACTTTCCCAGGGACTTTAAAATCTCAGGGACAGTTGAGGCTCAGCCTCCAGTCCCCTCTGTGTGCCAGAAGCTGGCCTCGATCCAAGGTTGCTCATTGCAGTTAATGTAGGCCACTGACCTGGCATCTCCTATCCTGTATGCCCTCCACCCATGGAAGGGCCACCTTGTTGTGTCTGCCTGCCTTTAGAATTCCCCCAGTCCTTGTTCCTGCAACCAGAGGGCTCTCTCTGCCCCATTTCTCTTTCCTGAATTTTCTATCCTATGCTCCTGTCCTGTCTTCCTTGGTTTTTGGTCAATTTTTTATACTCTGACAAAAAAAAAATCAGAAATAAATCTGGTTCTCAAATGCCACTAGTGTTGGATCTCTGAGGAGCAGAGGGGTGTCTAGGACAGTACCTACAGATAGAACCACTAGAGGGCAGTAGTGTTACATTCTGGAGATGCTACCTGGTAACCCAGGACTTAGGTAGAGGTCCTGTGAATGTTTCCCCAGATTGGGACACAACAGCCCTGAAGCACTCAGAGCAGCAGCTTGGGTACATGGAATGAGGCTCTCTGGAGCTGCTCTAACAGTGGGTTCCTGTTGGTTCATGGTCTGGGAATGTAGTTTAATGATATTGGACATGGTTTGTGGCCCAGGCCTAGGTTTGATCTCCAGCACAGAAATAGAAACAGAGATCTTCTAAAAGTAGAGAAGAATCCTTATTTATTCTGTTTTCGAGTGGCTGTTTGGTATTCCTGGGATCAAGGCTACACTGCTAATCTATTTCTGTGATCACTCTCTTCTGGCTCTTACATATATCCTTTAAATACAGGGTCCACTTGGGTAATCCAGATAGATCTCAAGAACATCAGTCACATCTACAAAGACCTTTTTTTTTCTAAAAAATAAAATAAAGTATCACTACAGGTTTAGGAATTTAACATGGTCAGCCAGGCGGTGGTGACGCATGCCTTTAATCCCAGCACTTGGGAGGCAAAGGCAGGCGGATCTCTGTGAGTTCGAGGCCGGGCTGGTCCAATAACCTCCAAAACAATACAGAGAAACCCTGAAACCCTGTCTCGTAAAACCAAAAAAAAAAAAAAAAAAGGAATTTAACATGGTCATCTGTTGGGGCTCATTTTTCAGCCAGATCCTGACATATATAACATGTAAAGCACATACCCTGGACCCTGCAATCAGACATACAAACAGGAACAGAGGTATAAGCCACAAACACAGTGACGCCACAACACACAGACATGACTGAATACATACTTGCATATTTGACCATACACAATGATACCTACACAAAGATCTATAACATCCCCATATGCACAGATATGATTACCCAAGCAAACAAATATTAATGCACAATCACCCACTAACACAAACACACAAGACATACCACATGGTGCGCATAAGCACACTACACCACAAAATGACTTTGACACCTAGATACACACAAAAGTCAGTTACAGGGAGGTGGGGCTGGAGAGTTAACATAGTGATTAAGAGCACTTGCTGCTCTTAGCCAGGTGTTGGTGTCACACACCTTTAATCCCAGGCAGAGACAGGAAGATTTCTGTGAATTCGAGACCAGTCTAGTCTACAGAGCAAGTTCCAGGACAAGCTCCAAAGCTACACAGAGAAGCCCTTTCTCAAAATACAAACAAACCAAACAAAAAAATACTTGCTACTTTTTGCAGAATTGAGTTCCTAGCACCCCCTTAAGGCAGTTCACAACTGCCTGTAACTCCAGCTTCAGATTATCTGATGCCCTCTTCTGGCCTCTGTGCACACATACACACACAAATGTTTAAAAATCAGCTCTTTGGGGCTGGAGAGATGGTTCAGTGGTTAAGAACACTAGCTGCTTTTCCAGAGGTCTTGAGTTCAATTCCCAGCAATCACATGCTGGCTCACAACCATCTATAATGAAATCTGATGCCCTCTTCTGGCCTGCAGACAGAACACTATACATAAATACATCTTTAAAAAAAAAATCAGCCCAGCTGGGCGGTGGTGGTGCACGCCTTTATCTCTGTGAGATAGAGACCAGTGAGTTCCAGGACAGGTTCTAAAACAATGCAGAGAAACCCTGTCTCGAAAAACCAAAATAAAAATAAAAATTAAAAAAATACCCTGACACATAGTTACACGTGGACATGCATAACCTGAATATATTATGCACATCCCACACACCCTGACATCTTAGTTACACAAGCGAGCATCAATCTTGCCTACAACAGGACAAGCAGATAATGCCATCATGACATTGTGATGCCTACACACAACTGCCACTCGACACACATGGTCACTTAGACACGTACCATCCCGTGGGCACTGGCATATCACACCTGCGAACACTCAGATTTATACAGGGAAAGGTGACAGCCTTGAGTGTACCTCAGTCTGCACACTGACCCCCAACCAACATTCTGACGGTCCACACCCTGGCAGGACAGGCAAGAAGTGGAAAGTGCTTTTAATGCCAGCGTGTGGGCAGCAGGAGCAGACAGTTCTCTGAGTTTGATGTCAGCCTTGTCTGCAAGCAGAGTGACTTCCAGGCTAGCCAGAAAGCTACACGGTGAGACCCTTTTTTTCAAAACACAGAGTGGGGGCTGGGATGACAGTATTTATTGTGGTCACCAAATGAAAGCCCAGTTTTCCTCTCTTCCCTCCTGAATGCTTAGTTTCTCACTAGGAGGTGGAGGCTTACCTCTTATTAGAGTATCCCTGGGTCTCCTGTGGAGCTCCAGGTTTTTCCGCTCTACCTCCTTCCCAGTCAGCTCCTCCCACCCCCCAGTCTGCCAAAGGAGAGTTTATTTCTCTCTGCTTCATTTATCCCCAAATCCTGTGGGTTGGGGCGTCATTACCCCCCAGATCTGACACACTAGCAGCCCAGGCTCTGCCCAGAGAAGCTAGGTAGTGGCATTGGTCTAGGACCATTGTTCACAACGATGGTAGTCGATTCAATAGCCAGTAATGCCAATAAATCCCAATGGTCTTACAGTGTCTAGATTGACTAAGGTGGCCACGGGGACAGATAGAGAGGTTGGGGGCTCATCCTAACACCGGCAATCTTCCTTCATAAGGGTCTACTTCAGCTAGCGCAACCAGACAGGTTGCTTAATCTGTGAGACAGAATTTGGAGTCGTGTCCAGAGGGTTCCTGACATGCCTCAGTTTACTGGACTGTCCACAAAGCGACTCCTGCCCTAGGCACGCTTGACAGGTCTCTTGGTGCCGGTTACAAGTACCACCAGAGCTACGGATCTCACGGCCTCGGGGCTCAGGCAGGCCCCACTGGCCCCTTCCCCGCAGCGGCTGCCGCGTGAATACCGCGAGAGTTCGCCCCCTCCCCCCCCGCAGTAAAACTGTCAAAGGTGGGAGGGGCGGGAGCGCGCATGTGCGCAGCACGGCGCGCAGTGTGCGCCGCCCGGACCCCGCGTCCCGCGCCCCGCGCCCCGGCCCCGGCCCCGGCTCCGGCTCCGGCCTGGCCCGGCCGCACCCATTGGGCGCCGCAGGTAAGCGCCGGCAGTGCTCGTCCTACCGCGGCCCCGGCGCCAGCCCGCGCCCCGCACCAACCGTGTGCTCAGCCCGCCTCCCCGCCGCGCCCGGACCCGCGCCGCGCCCCGCTCCCCGCGTCGGCGCCGTCCTCCCGCCTCCTCCTTCTCCAGAAAAAGTCGCCATTTTGGTTCACTGCCTTCGCCCCCCCGCGGTCGGCGCTTCCGGGCCCAGGCTGCAGCCCGTGTCCGGCCTCAGGTGACAGGTGGGTGGCCACGGGCCTTCAGGTGCTTGTCTTGACAGCGCTCGCCAGACCAGGCGAGTGGCCTGAGTCCGCGGCGGCGCCCTCTTCCCCGGAGGCTATAAGAGATCCTGGGGACCCCAGGTGGTGGAGGGATTTTTCCTTCTACTCTGGCGACCACCATGCCTTTACCCCTGACTCTGATCTCTAACCAGACTGGAAGGGTGCAGCGGGCCCTTTACCCCTGGCCTCCAGTGTTACCAGGATTCTGGATGACTCGTTTTCTTCTGAAGCTACAAAACGAGGACACCCCGAGAACTTTGGTTCATCTAAGATCCTCCCTCCCTCCCTCCCCTAGACCCAGCATGGGGTGTTGCCATTGGCAGTGGACAGTGGCTGTCCTGACCTCTAGCCTGAGCGCTCCCGGATATAGCAGACCCTACGTACCCCCTCTGATTTGAGTTGATCACAAACTGTCAGGAGAGGGTTCACCTGCTTGAACCTTGCTCTTTGGTACCGCCCCCTTCTGTGGCTTTGGGTACCTCTGAGAGGCCTCCACATGGCTATGGTCAGAGCCACCCCCCCTCAGTTTTCAGGGTATGAGATGTCCCAAGCAGAACAGGTCCTTGGAGCATCACCGCTCCCGTCCCGCTCCTCCCCCCCCCGACCCCAGCACGCTCTGTGCTTCAGGCTCGGGAGCTTGGGCCAGTATTGGCTGTAACTTGTTTAGCTGAAGTGGGTTCCTAAGCAAGGAACCTCGAAGTTATTGAGAATAGCAAATAGTGATGTGGCCCGCTAGCCTGTGGTGGCTCAGGGTCTGAAGCAATGGCTCCATCCGGGTAGAGGGGCCCTGAACTACACAGAGGGCAGAGAAGACAGGCAGGTAGGATGGATGGATGGCTCAGCAAGCGTGGGGACCAAAATGGAGTTCCAGTGGGTCTTCTTCAGTTTGCCCTCACCAGAGATTTGGGTGCAAGTGGTGGGGAAGCGGGCCTTCAGCTGCTCTCATCGTCTTCTGTGTCCATAGAGAGGTCGTCAAGGGTGCCCATGTGGGTAAGTTAGTATCACATATCTGGAGGCGCAAGGGCCAGGGCCCTAAGGAGAAGGTGTCCCTGAGGCATCATGGCATGACTGCCTTGGAGTCAGCAACCGTTACTGGTGCTAATTGTCCCCCAAGAGGGATAGTATCAGTCTCCTTCCTATTTCATAGTCCCTTTCTGAACACAGGCCCCACCTGATCCTTTGCACGCTGTGGTACCGTATGTCTAGATGAGGGTGGGGTGAGTGTGCGAATGTAGTGAGAGTCTCGGCTCTTTCCACACTTGTGGGTTATTTAAAGAGACCTCGTCTGAGCAAACCCCCTTCCCAGAGTTCGAAGCCCCCATTACATCCTTTTCAATGGGTGGGAGAGGCCTACTGTAGGCCTCTAGGGTAGCCCCAGTGAAAGCCCTGGGTTGGGCCCATGCAGCTCATAGGTCTGTGCTCTTGCTCTATAGAGATGACTGAATCCTTCTGTGTTGGAGGAGGCCGCCGGCTTCAAGGGTCCAGCAAAGGTGGATCTGGAAAGGGTGGCAGCCGGAAGGATGTCCAGCTTCCCATGTTGCAGGACCCACCAAAGTTGGGTAAGGAGCCACAGCAGAAATCAGTTCTAGAGTGTACAGATAGCCGATGGTAGAGTAGGCTACCTCCTTGGGTATCCTGAGGACCTTCTTGGGGTGGAGATTGTTAACCTGAGGCTTAGGCTCTTGTCCTAGGTTGGCTATAGCCCTGGGCCTTGGTATGGGTAAGCCAAGACTCAGTCTGGACTTGCTGCCCCTTGGGGGTTGGTGGTGTTCTGCATCCACGGAGCCGTGCTCTCTTCTGTGCTGCAGGTATGCCAGTGGTTCACAGTGGACATACAGTGCCTAGCCAGGCCTCACTCTGCTTTGACCCCGGAAACCCAGCCAGCGATAGGACAGAAGGGAAGAAGAAAGGGAGGCCGAAAGCCGAGAATCAAGCTCTCCGAGATATTCCTGTGAGCTCCCTGAGGGTGGGGTTGGGGGTGCTCATATTATTCAGCCTGTGAAGGCCGCTGCCCTGCCCTTACCTACCCACAACACATCCTGTGCCAGCTTGTTTCAGCATGTGGCCAAGGGCCCTTGCATCTGACGGTTCCAAGGTCCCAGTGGGCTATGTTAGTAGTCTGCAGCATGATTGAATACTTGGTCTGCTCTTGAGGTTTAAAGGGCTGATTTGGTTTGGGGGTCCTTTGAGTCTGGGTAGCTAAAGGTCAGCAGTTTGGCCTTTTCCTCTGTCCAGTTCTCCCTGATGAACCAGTGGAAAGATGAATTCAAGGCACACTCAAGGGTGAAGTGTCCAAACTCAGGGTGCTGGCTAGAGTTCCCCAGCATCTACGGGCTCAAGTACCACTATCAGCGGTGCCAAGGGGTAAGGGGCTGCGGGTCGGGGAAGAGGAAGCCTGGGAGTGCATCTGGGCAGAGGCCCCCGGGGCCCCATCCCACACCTGCCCTCCCTGCCCAGGGCGCTATCTCAGATAGACTGGCCTTCCCTTGTCCCTTCTGCGAGGCCGCATTCACCTCCAAGACCCAGCTGGAGAAGCATCGGATTTGGAATCACATGGACCATCCTCTGCCTACCCCCAAGCCTGGCCCGGTCAACCGGCCAGTCACCATCAACCGGCCTGTTGGGGTCAGCAAGCCCATCGGAGTGAGCAAACCTGTTACTGTTGGCAAGCCAGTGGGAGTCAGCAAACCCATTGGCATCAGTAAGCCAGTCACAGTCAGCAGGCCTATGCCAGTCGCTAAGCCTGTCACAGTCAGTAGGCCCATGCCAGTTTCTAGGCCTGTGCCAGTCACCAAGCCCATCCCAATCACCAAACCTGTGCCACTCACCAAACACATGCCGGTCACCAAGCTTGTGACAGTTACAAAACCTGTGCCACTCACCAAACCAGTACCAGTCAGCCGGCCCATTGTGGTCAGCAAACCAGTGCCGGTCAGCAGGCCCATTGCCATCAGCAGACACACACCACCCTGCAAAATGGTATTGCTGACCAAATCTGAGAACAAAACACCTCGTGCTACAGGCAAGAACAGCAATAAGAAAAGGTACAGGAAGTCATTTGGGGTGGTAAGTTGTCAGATGTGCCTGGGGGTGGTAAGAGGGCTACTGTGTTCGCCTGGACCTCACCTTACTTATACTTGCAGGGCTGCAGACAGTTTGGACACCTGCCCCATCCTGCCCAAGCAGGCAAGGCCAGAGAATGGGGAGTATGGCCCATCCACCATGGGCCAGAGTGTGACTTTCCAGCTGGGTACAGATCCCAGCAACAACTCCCTACTGCCAGGAAGCAGGCCCTTGATGGGCAAAGAGGCACTGCGGCCTGCAGACCCAGCATCCCAGCCAGAGGAGGACCCCGAGCGCACAAAGCACAGTAAGAAAAGAGCACTGGGAGACTGGCCATGGTGGGCTCTGGCCTTCCAATAGTTATGTGACCAGAATCTTGGTACTCATTTTCTCTCCCGTGAGTCAGGAAGGAAACAGAAAACACCCAAGAAATTCACAGGGGAGCAGCCATCTATCTCAGGGACCTTTGGGCTCAAAGGTAAGACCCCAGCCAGCTGGAGACCTCTGAGACTGAGTAAGCCAGTATTTAGCCCATATGTCTTACTCACATTGTGTGTGCATACAGGCCTGGCCAAAGCTGAAGACAAGGCCCGAGTTCATCGCTCCAAGAAACAAGAAGTATCAGGCTCCGAGGAAGTGCGGAAGAAGGTGCTGGCCACTACTGTCACTGTCGGCAAGGAGGCACCAGCTCCTGTGGCCCACCCAGCCCCAGGTGGGGGCTGCCTGGCAGGACCCAGGACAGGTCTCCATGGTGGGCTGGTCCTGTAGCAAAGGCATGGGGGCTGCTCCTGGAGTCCAGGGCATTCAGGAGCCCCACAAGCCTGAGGCCTGGCCCTGCCTCACAGGTGGCCCTGAGGAGCAGTGGCAGCGAGCCATCCATGAACGGGGGGAGGCTGTCTGCCCCACCTGCAACGTGGTTACCCGGAAGACCCTCGTGGGGCTCAAAAAGCATATGGAAGTATGTCATAAGGTAAGCCTCCTGCCCCCACCCCACCCCCTAAGGTACTGGGAGGGAAGACCCCTGACTTTGAGGTTTCTCATAGTCAGGCCATGTCTACAGTTGCAGGAAGCACTGAAATGCCAGCACTGCCGGAAACAGTTCAAGTCCAAGGCTGGCCTCAACTACCACACCATGGCTGAACACAGTGCCAAGGTATGCTGCCTGACCCCTAGCTCCCTGTCTAGCCCGACTGCCGACCTCTCGTTCCACCACTGCTCCTCTATACTTGATTTTGGATCTGTGGCCCTAACTCCTGACTGGCATCAGGTCTGAGGCTTGCTCTGTCTCCAGCCCACTGATGCTGAGGCCTCTGAAGGCGGAGAACAGGAGGAGCGAGAAAGGCTTCGGAAGGTGCTGAAGCAGATGGGACGGCTACGCTGCCCCCAAGAGGTCTGTGTTGGGCCATGTGGGGGAGTTGAGGACTTGGGAGCATGGATGATTGCTTACCTGGTCTCTGACCTGGATCCTCAGGGCTGTGGAGCCGCCTTCTCTAGCCTCATGGGTTATCAGTACCACCAGCGGCGCTGTGGGAAGCCACCATGTGAGGTAGACAGCCCCTCCTTCCCCTGTACCCACTGTGGCAAGACTTACCGATCCAAGGCTGGCCATGACTACCATGTGCGTTCAGAGCACACGGCCCCGGTGAGTGGCCTTTACTCTAATGGCCTGTGTTGTGTCATGTTGTGTTATGCATGTGTTTGTGAGTTCATGTGCTCCCTGATAGGTGTAACCCCTGCCTTTAGTGATCTGAAGTCTTGTGTGTCCTGAGAGGAAAGATGGGAGCCTGGTGCCCCAGTGTCTTGTTTTTCTTGTGTCTACATCTCCCACCTCTTGCATGCATGCTGGGTCTCCCAATACATGCAGAGACCACAAATGGCCCACAACTCATGCCAACTCTAACTCCTGGTCTCTGGATGTCTTCCCTCTCTGTGGCTTATACTGGCCTCTTTGTGTCCTTGCTATCTAGCCCCCTGAGGAGCCCACAGACAAGATCCCTGAGGCTGAGGACCTGCTTGGAGTAGAACGGACCCCAAGTGGTCGCATCCGTCGCACATCGGCCCAGGTTGCCGTGTTCCATCTACAGGAGATTGCAGAGGATGAACTGGCCCGTGACTGGACCAAACGGCGCATGAAGGATGACCTCGTGCCTGAGACTGCAAGGGTGAGTGGCCCACCTAAGGGATGGGCAGGATCATGACCCTTGGTCAATCCCTAATTGCTCCCCCAACTTCTTGGTCTCTGACCAGGACAAGCCTCATTTGAGTCCCCTGTGGCAGCCATGTTCTTGTGATCTTGGCCATCTACTAACCCCGTCTGTGAAGGGGCAGTGAGCCTGCTACAGACGCACATGCATTGTGTCAGAGCAGCATGTGCCTCAGCCTGAAGCTCACCTGGTGCTGTGCCTGGCTTTGCAGCTCAACTACACTCGGCCAGGCCTCCCTACACTTAATCCCCAGCTGCTGGAGGCATGGAAGAATGAAGTCAAGGAGAAAGGCCATGTGAACTGTCCCAATGATGTAAGCTGGGACCAGCATATAATGGGAGTGGGGTATTGTGGCTTGAGGATAAAGGGCTTAGGTTTGGCCCTTCAGGCAACAGTAGAGGTTAAGACAATGAATGTCCTATTGGGAAGTAACCATCTTTAGTGTGACCAGTCTATCTCTGACCCTGGGTTCCTATAGAGTCTTCACATAGAAGTCATGTCAACAAAAGGGACTTCAGTCTGGGGGCCCCTCTACCCACCCTGCTCAAAATCCAATGCTCCAGGAACCTGCCATCAGAGAAGCCCCAGAATGCTCTGGGGTTGAGGGTGGGGTGCCCCTTGTGTGGAGTTGTGGGAGGGCTTCCTCCACAGCTGTCTCCTGCCTGCAGTGCTGTGAAGCCATCTACTCCAGTGTGTCCGGCCTCAAGGCCCATCTTGCCAGCTGCAGCAAGGTCAGTTCTGGTTCTGGGATTATCCCCATGATTGGATGGGGCACTGAGCACCCCCAGTTTTCTCTTGTCAAGGGTTTACCTATGTAGGTATAAGACCCCTACCCTGTCCACTGCATCTTAGAGACTAATAGGTACTCAACAGGTGGCCCAGAATCCCTCTTTGTTCCCTACACTAGTCATTTGTTTCCAAATCCTTCCCTGGATCTCCCTTATCTTATGTGGTATAAGTGTTCATCCTGACCTGAGCAGAGGACACACTTGGCTTGAGATGAGGACATTCACCAAAGGACTGTGACTTATCCCTGTAGCACCTGCCTCATCCCACTCTCCTCTATTCCAGTAGCACTGATGGCTTCATAATCCTTTTGTACACATCCTAGAAGACAGTGCAGTTTCTCTCTGGCTGACCCCAGTCCTAACCTTTTAGCGGCAGGATAAGGGCTTGGACCAGATGTGGGTGCTTTGAATCTTCCGAAGGTTGGGTACTGGACCACTGTGCATTGCAGGGGGACCACCTGGTGGGGAAGTACCACTGCCTGCTATGTCCCAAAGAGTTCAGCTCTGAGAGCGGTGTCAAGTACCACATCCTTAAGACCCATGCAGAGGTATGAAAGTTATCTTCTGGGCTTGCAGGCCTGAAGACTGGCCTTAGGGATGGGTGGTAGAAATCAGGTGGCTCAGATGGTGTGCACTGAGAAATCTGGCACACATGTCCAGAGCATGGGGTGGTAAATCTTGAAGAAAAAAAAACCAAAAGGAATAGTCTAGAGGTGCTCCAGCTTGGTACCTGGCCCCTGAGTGGAGCCTCCCGAGGCAGGGGAAGCCCTTGTCTTCAGCCACTTCCTAGCAGTTACATGTCGGACCAAAACATAGTTTAGGTGGGTTGGGAGAATGTATCGGTGGTTAAGAGTGCTTCCTTCTCTTCTAGATGACAAGAGTTTGTTTCCCGGCACCTATGTCAAGAGATTCACAACTGTCTATAGCTCTAGCTCCCTAGCCTCTATAGGCACCTGCACTCACATGCACATACACACACACACACACAAATAATATTTAAAAATTAATGAAGAAAAGTTAGGTCTGTAGCTTTGGATCAGGGTTCCCAGTCTTGACTGCAAGTTTTCTCTCCCTAGAATTGGTTCCGGACCTCAGCTGATCCACCTTCCAAACACAAGAGCCAGGACCCCTTGATGCCTAGGAAAGAGAAGAAGAAAAATCTGTCAGGAGGAAAGAAGCGGGGCCGCAAACCCAAGGAACGATCCTCTGAGGAGCCAGCATCTAAACTGCCACCTAACAGGGATGACTGGCCCCCAGGAAGCAGAGACAGGGGAGCCCGAGGCTCCACTGGGAGGAAGGCTGGAGCTGGGAAGGCGCCTGAAAAGTGAGCCTGGTGGGCAGGCCTAGCCACCAGGCCCAGCTTTGTTGAGATTAGGGGAACCAGTTCCAGACTTGTCCTCCACCTCCACACACACACCCATCTGTCCAGAGGTTGGCAAACCACTCTGATCTCCCCGAAAGTGGTCCTTCCCCTGTTTAGGTTGCCTCACATGGCTAGCTGGGGCTCCCCAAGAGTGCCAGGGGCAGTAGCAAAAGTGCAATAGGCTGGGGGGCCCCAGCCATCCCTACAAGGACATTCTTGGACCTGGCAGAATCTAGAGCCTTGGCACCATGGGGCACGAAGTGTGCTTGAACAGCCAAATGGCCCTTATCTCCACCTTATCTCCCTCTGGCCCAATAGGGTCCCTATTCTGACTCCCTCAAGGCTCAGACATTCCTGGTGACCCATACTTGTGGACTGATGAGGCATAGGAGCAGCCTGGCTGCCATCACTTAGGCCTCACCTCCACCCCACACTGGATCTCCAGTACTCCCAGCTACCTCCCAGGACAGACCCTGTCTAGCTACTGCCATGCTGCCCTGACAGCCACCCACCCATCTGTCTTCTTGCATCCATTTATGACCCCCTTGCTTCTGTTTTCTACCTCTCTGGGCCTGCTCCCCTCCTCTGTCATCCCTGCTGTGCTTCAGGCCTCACCCCGTTGACTGGTGTGGTCATGGTGGAGTGTGTAGCCTTCCAGGCAAGGAAAGAACTTTGTGTGTTCTACCTTCAGGGAGGTCCAGACCCATAGCTACCAACCTGAGAGCAAAGGACTAGAGTGCTCCACCTCCAGTCTTTAGTTTCTGATCTTGTTGGCACCCTGAGGGCTGCCTCCCTCGGGCCACAGCCATGTGAAGCAGAGCCTGGCCAGAAGGAGCCTCTAGCCCAGGAGTAGCGCCTATGAGAGACAGCTTATGTCTACCATGCTAAGTGGGCCCATAAGCCAAGTCTTATGGAAGCCCTCAGTATCTAGTGGCAATCAGTCATTTGATATAGAAACTGAAGGATAATGAAAAATGGGGTCTCAGCCAGTGTAGCAGCTCTAGGCTGGGCCCCACCCCTTTAGGGGTCCTGCGGATAACAGGGTCTGCAGGTTGGGCAAGGCCTGGAAGAGAGATCTGGCCTCCTTCCTGGTCCTACCCACCCCTCTGAGCCACACTGGAAGAAGGGGAAGGGGTGAGAACAGCTTTTTCCAGTGTGGGTAGGGGTGGACTGAAGCCTCTGCTTCTGATCCTGGACGATGTGAATTTTGATATTTGCCTGTGTGTGTCTCCCGGATGTTGTTGATGCCAGTCTTGTTGCTGTGACAAGTAGCAACCTTTTTTAAAATTCTTTTTTTTAAATATACATACATATACATACATACATATATATATATGTATGTATATATGTATCAACAATTTTATGTTTTGGTGCTAAGGGTTTCCTGGTGCCAAAGGTAGAGCTGGGCTGTAGTACTGACTGGCACCTGCCCCCCAGCCTCAAGGGGGAGGGATTCACAGGAGATTTGGCATGGAGTCCTTGTACACTCCTGTCTAGGATTGTTCTGACTCTGGGCAACCCTAGCATTATATGCAGGAGGTGTTGAATGAACTAATGAACTCTTTAATTCCTACACACCTTTGACATGATCAGAGGGTGGCCACAGAGATGGGTAAGATCCAGTGTCAAAGTTCAAAGGGTAGGCTGGGACGTTTGGGTGGTGGTGTGCAATTGTGGAAGGGAATGGGGCCCAAGTGCACTTTCAAAACACCTCTGTGGGGTGTGACCATCCACCCCAGCCTCTCAGGTACTAAGCACTTGTCAGAAGAAGGGCCTAAGTTTGCTGGGGGCTGAGTTTCCAGGACATGGCTCAAGGCCCAGATGTAGGCCTTGATATGGGACTTGGGGGTTCTATTACTTGATGTTTAGCACTTTAACTCCTTTGTCTTTGAGGTGGGTGTGGGGGCAGCTGTCAAAAGTGACAGTTGGATAGGTGCCAGCTGGTGGTGGCTGGTAAGGGGTTTTGGCAAGCTAGTCTGTAAAGCACTTCCAAGGTGTTAAGGCCCTCCCTGGGCACCTCCCTACTCTGGCCCAAAGGTGACCACCAGCCTACAAAAAGAGGAACCATCATGACAGATCTCCAGGAGGGGTGGGCTTGGCCCAAACAAACCCTGGGTCCTTGGCAAAATGCAAAAGTCAGGGTCTCTACAGATCTACCTCTGGCTCAGCGCTTGCCCTGCCCTAAAAAACCAGAAAAGTGCCAAGGGCAGACATTTCATGCAGAACCAGGGTGCACTTTATGTTCCTGCACAGGCAGATATTGGTGCCTCCTGGGGCCTTTGGGGCCTTCCTGTCCCTATGGTGGTTCTGAGGGGAGAGTTTTTCCTGTGTTCCCCTGTTGGGTGGAACACAGGCTCTTTGCCCTGGAGACCTGGTTTCCCAGGTCACCCCTCATACCTGACTGCAGCGCCTCCTAAACTTTGGGTTCCTTGGTTTGGTTTTAATGCAGTTCTCATTACACAAGTGCATTTCTGGCTATCACTTGTAACCATAGATATACATGCATATATATTCTATCTACAAAGTGTTTTATTTGCAAGATGTTTTGAGGTGAGCTTGGGTCCTGCCCGCCTTGTGATCATCTGTCCCCATCCTCATCCCCTGGCCCGGAGTGGTGCGGTGGTGGGCCATCAACTGTATGTATTAAAATTACTGTATCAAATAAATGTTTATTGATTTCTTTTTTCCAGGGCTTTTGTGCGGCTGTTTGTGTTGAGGGCGGGCCCTTCCCTAGGTTTGCCGCACAGCCTTGTGGGGCTTGTAGTCTGCAGCCTGCCAGACTCCAGGCGCGCCTCCCCGGCCTCCCCCAGGTTCGGGACGCCATGGCTGCGCCGCCTGTCTCCGCTGACACTTCCCCGTCGCCCCTACAATCCACTGTGGCCCCAGACGTGCCTGGCCGCCCGGCCGAGCAGAGTGAGACCGCGAGTGAGGACCGGTAGGCGCGGGCCTGGATAAGGCTGGGGCCGCGCTCACCTCTTGGGAGGGGTCAGCGCACGGCTTGCATTCCCTTCCTAAAGCCCGGTTGGCTCCGCGGCATCTCCGTAGTGGGGCAGCTAGGTCTCCACAGCCGCGGGAAACCTGGACAGATTTCGGCAGTTTTCCACAGCCTTGGGGCCGCCTGGGCCATATGTAGGCAACCCTCTGCCAGGGAGAGGGAGGTGGCAGGTAGCCTAGAGGGCCGCAGCGGACGGAAGGCGGAACTGGTCTAAGTCCTTAGTTTTTGGAGGCGCGGAGAGTGGAAACCTGTTTGACCCGTGTGGCCTGGGTTTTTGTCCCTAGCGTTTGCACACTTGGCTCTAGGCTCCCAGGTGGGTGGTGGGCGTGCTCTTAGTTCGTCGAATTTGATCTCACCATCTCCTACCCACCTTGGCGGCCAGTGGTAATTATGAATGTAGGATGGGACGGTTGATCTCCACCTACCCGAGAGTTTAGGGGCCCTTCCGAGGCTTTCAGGAGCATTGAGAGGGCTCAGCCTGATCATCCCGAGTAGCAATTCCAGGCCACAGCCGCCAAGGGGCGGTGACCGCACTTGGAACTGCATGTGGCACTTCTTCCGGTCTGATTGCACCAGATGTCTTCAGGCCTCAGAGCACTGCTTGGGGGAACATCTTTGGGACAACAGGTGTTGGAAGTGGATATGGCAAATCGCGGCTAGTTCACACAGTCCAAGACGTTCTAACTGGTAGCCCGAAAGATTTGGTTGGGTCTAACAAAGCTGAGTTTGTGATGCTTTCTAGTTCAGAAGGTCTTGATATAACCAGAAGCAAAGAGGTCATGGTCATATACTTCCAGGGGTTCCCGAGGAAACACCCTGAGAAGATACACTGCACTGGTGCTTCAGGCACTGGCAGCAGTAGGAGAGGGAGTCGCTGGTAGACCTCTTCTTGTCCAGCTTGAGGTTTCTCCTACTGTTTTTCCTAGTACCTGTCCCCTTATCTTCCCACCCTCGAGGCTTTTTCCTTGGAAGTGCCTGACCTTAGCTGGTACTGTTGGGGTACCCCGAATTGAGGAGGGTCCCCAGGCTGGATTTGTCACCCCAAGAATCAAGAGTCCACCAGCCAATTGATGCACCACGCAAGAGGCTTTAATTAGGCATCTGCAGATGGGCCTCTCGGTCAGCTTTTAGACCGATTGGCCCCGAGGTTCAGTTACAATCAGCTTTTAAAGACAAAAACCACAAGCTTTTGGGAGGGGTCCCTATCTCATGACGGGGGAAGGGGGCACGTGACTCCTGTCCGGGGGAAGTAGATGTCCTTCACATCAAACCTTGGCATGAGTTAATTTATCTCTCCCTAAGTAAATAGTGTTATCTCCTTGTTTCCCACTAATCTTGTTTGCCCTGGTCAGTTCTTCACAGGTGGCAGCCCATAATTGGCTTTTTGTGGATTTACAGTCCTTCTGCAATTAAGGTCTCTAAACCATACATTCCATCCTGTGGTATGGTCGGTTCCTGGGATGGGAACCTTTGTTCACTTCCCAAGTTCTCTAGTGGGGTGCCCTCTCTGTTTAAGCTTATATTTTATTTCTATAAATTCGGAGTGTTACAGTACAACCAGTAGCTTTCGTGTCAATATGCAAAATGGATATTGGGCTGAGATTATAGAGACTGAACAGAAGCTAATGGTGCCCACCCAGAGCCTTGGGATGCATGTGGAGGTGTGTGAGTGAAGGGATTACAGTGTGGCAAGTGGGCCATGGAAGCCTCTAATCTCCCAGTCCTGTGTCTACCTGTGAACTTGGCCTTGGTGACTATCTCTGAACCATCCCCTACCACTTGCAGGTCTTCCATAGAAGCAGCCAGAGTGTAACTTGACTATAGATCTATCGACAGCAGAGGGACCTTGAGACCTTTCTTAGTCCTTTGGTGGTCCAAGCGATGAGCCTTCCTCCCTTCAGACCCTGCTGTAGATATTTGATTCTGGTTTCTCTGACGGAGAATGCAAATTGTAGGGCAGCTCTACTTCCCATGATGCTATCTTTTTTTTTTTTACATTTTTTTATTTTTTTATTTTTTATTTTCTTTTCTTTCTTTCTTTCTTTCTTTATTTTTGGTTTTTCGAGACAGGGTTTCTCTGTGGCTTTGGAGGCTGTCCTGGAACTCGCTTGGTAGTCCAGGCTGGTCTTGAACTCACAGAGATCCGCCTGCCTCTGCCTCACGAGTGCTGGGATAAAAGGCGTGCGCCACCAACGCCCGGCTTTAACATTTTTTTAAAGATTTATTTATTTATTATGTATAGTGTTCTGCCTGCACATATGCCTGCAGGCCAGAAGAGGGCACCAGATCTCATTACAGATGGTTGTGAGCCACCATGTGGTTGCTGGGAATTGAACTCAGGTCGTCTGGAAGAGCAGTCAGTGCTCTTAACCTCTGAGCCATCTCTCCAGCCCCCCCATGATGCTATCTTATGTAGGTCCCTTATCAATGACGCACCTGCTGAGGTTCTCAGTAACCCCTGTCTCCTTGATAAGGATACAGGTCTGCTGCATTCCCTGGTGAGTGATGACATCTGAGCCACAGTGGACAGAGCTGTCACCTGGTGGTTAGCCAGAGGGAAATGAAGACTGAGTAGCAGCTTCCAGCATCACCTACCTCAGACAGCCCTGAGACCTAAAAAGGAGGCCTGAAAGGAGGAAATTTCAGGGGCCGGAGTTATTAGCCAGATAGCCTAGTATATCCAAGGTTAAGATGAAGTTCAGGAGTCAGGGTCTGATGTTCTGGGGCCAAGTCTAGTGAATCAATAGGTGGTTCAGATCTGTCAACTATAAAAAAAAAACCTGGAATCAGGCTTTCCCATTCTGAGATCAGCACAAACCTGTGGCCTGCTTTTCCACCCACTGACCCTGACCTGATAGGATACTCAAAGAACGTACGTGTCAGGATCCTCTGTTGTGATCAGCCAGCCAAATTTGTGAAATGATTCCCTAGGACCCCTTGACTCTGCATCCATGCCCAGAACAAATTAGCCTCCCAGAGCAATCCTCGGGCATATCCAGCCAACCACCTGAGAGTGGAGGCGGAGGGACAAACCCTAAACACATACATGTACATGTAAACATAGACAGGCTCTTCCTGCTCCAGGTGTCTCGTAGGGATGTAGACATTTACGTGAGTTACCTAGGTAGTAAGAAGAGCCGCCTCCAAGATGCTCCCAGAGTGGCTCCTCTTCAGGTGTGTGAAGTCCGTTTGGAAGCTTCCTTTTTCCTGAGCACCTCCCAGACTGTCTTCGTGCTGGAGGTGTGCCAGGTAGGATGAGGTTGCAATAAGGGCAACCCACCCCTGAAGGGAACCCCGCCCGTAGCCAGCAGAGCCTCACTGATTAGAGCTTAAGTCAGTAAAGAGATTTCAGCTGAGGCTGGTACCAAATCTGTCTCTGTGGCTGCTGAATGCTGAGGCCTGGGTGGCCATAGGACTTGCCAGTATCTCTGTCAGGTGGGGGTAGGAAAGTTATTCTTGGATGTGCTAGGGTAGAGTTTCAGATTTGTTTATCCTTGTAGGAGGCACCTTGGGGCCAGGAGAGAGGCATCCAGCTCTGCACTGGCATTCAGATCACCTGGCTTGGAGGGGCCCCAGATTCCCTTGTCTTGCTGTGCTATGCATTCGGGGCACAGCTGTATTTCTTCTAGGAAATTTGGGGAAAGGTTAACCAGAGTACAGTGGTCCTCAACAAGTCCAGGCCAATGAGCATACTGGCTAACACTGAAATACACTTCACACCAACTGGCCTGGTGGTTGTGCGGGCCAGAGTCAGTACTATTAATATCTGGTGCATGAGCCCTAACTGGGTGATCCTCTTATACATGTGGCATTGGCCTCTGAGACTAACATTGTGTTCCCTTAGTGCAGTAGGGCTCCTGGGGCCACCTAGGTGCTGTTCCCCACTCCCTGTATATAGTAAGCTACTGCTGCCAGCCTAGGGGTCCAACCCCACCCAGCTCTTCTGCTGTGCTGCCCACAGGAGTGATTCTACCCATGGAAGACTAGTCCAGGTGGCCAGAAATCCCAGGCTTGTCCTTGGGGACAACAGTAGTTCTAAGAGGTAGTGATACTCTAACTGCTAGCACCTAGACCACACATGCCCTACCATCCCACTGTCCAGGGACACCCACCTCTGAGCCCTCTGTACCTACCTGCATCCTTGGCAATGAGCAGCCCCCTAGCTTACCCTGGCATCAGGATCTCAGGGTGCTGGACTCTTGGAGCAGAAGGCAGGTGAGTTGCAGCAGTCCCTGCTGATGAGAACCCCACTTCCCAATGATACAGACCACTCCTGGCTTGTGTGTGATGCGTGTCCACGGATATATGAAAACAAACAAGCTGGCAGATGCTCCTGGGAGCTGAAGGGTGCTCGGGGCTACAGATGTGGCTGACTTGGGATTATGGGTTATGGTAGTAGCATCTTGCATTTGCTGTGGCTCTTAATTCTGTTTGTACAAATGAGCTTTTGTTATTGAGGCCAGAAGCTGCTTTGTCTGTCTGTGGGTGAGAGATGAAGTAACCTGTGCTCCTTTCCTATCAAGAGGCACCTTTTGTGAGAAAGGAGCTGATGCCTTATCTCTGGCTCTAGGAGACAGCTATTAACTTTGAGTAGAACAGGGTGGCTGGGCTTGACACAGACACAGCATGAGGCCGATTTCTGGCAAAGCCCTGCCTGATCTGCTTGCAACTGGGCACTCTTCCCATCAGCAGCACATGCCTTGGAAGGGATCTTCCCCAAGGTGGAGAAGAGTCGCTGATGGGGAACTTAAATTTCTCTAGGGTACTGTGAGAATCACAAATCAGGTAAACAGCCCCAGCCTGTTGCCTCTTTTGTCCAATTTCTGTCTGAGTGTGCCTTGGTTTTGTGTGTACTTGTGTTTACCAGTGGTGGTCAGGGCACAGCCTACAGGCAGGCAGTGTTAGGAGCGTTATCGGGTTGCTCGGCCTCTTGCAAGTCAGATGCTCTGCATTGGAGTAGATTCCTCCCAAAAGTTGAGGGCAGCTCCCAGGGGAATGTAGAGGAGACCCAGCGGGGAGACAGAGGACCTGGATTTGCTTTTTGTTTACTGAGGCCTTCCAGAGCTACCGTGTGTACTGTGGTCATGCTGCCTCTTAGGGACCAAGGCACCCTGGAACCCTAGGGAGTCTCTGCTCCTTCCCCTAGCTGCCTTCCTCCCCCCTCCCCGCCCAGCTCATGTCCCCTGGAAAGGTCAGCCCAATGGGTAAGCTTCGCAGATCCATTTGTTTACTGTGGATGGATTAGTATACTCAGGTAAGCAACCAGCTATCTATCCTTTGTCTGGGGATCTGGGGACCTCATTGTCTGTGTTTACAGTTGTCTCCCTTTTTGACTGAGCCATTCAGGTAGGCCTGAGTTGGAATGCAGATGATGCCCCTTCAGTAAGCTCCCTGTGTCCCCCTCACATGCTGTCTACCCCTAAGACCCCCCTGACTGGCAGACTCAGGTCTAGGTATTCACCTGTGTTGCTTATGCCTAGCCCCCATCCTCTGAGCTCCCACACTTGTCTCCAGAGCAATGGAGGTGATGCTGAACTTAAGAGACTGACTAATTATTCCCTGTGCTCATTCTCTGAGCTCTGGTAAGGACACATGGCATAGAAACAAGCAGGCCTATTGCCTTTGTCCCCAAGGATGAATTGCAGTGTGTTTTCTTGGTTGGAGACAGATGGGCTCTTTTCGTGATGCTCACTTGTGTCTGTCTGTGTTGCCTTGCACCTTTCAGAGCTGCCAGTATGACCGGTTACACGTTGGGTTTTCTACCCGTTCTTCCATTACCTGCCTCCTCCTCATGAGCACACAGCCGCAATCTTCCTGGTCCTAAGAAGGGTTATCAGCTGAGAACATCATTGTTCCCAAACTGAGCTAACCCAGAGGTAGAAAGAAGCTTGCCTCAGGCCACATCCTGGTACATCAGCCCTGGGAGTCAGCCCTGGGAAGCACCATAGTGAGTTGTGAGGCAGCAGTAACAGAGCTTCCCAGACAAACCCAGTGTCCGTTTTGATAAGAGAGCTTGTACTTGTAAAGCATTCAAAATGTGGCAGAAGTTCCTGTCCCAAATTGTGGTCGCCAAGGAAATTGAGATTATCATACTGGCATATTTGCTTTCAGGGCCTCTGAGTACACACCTTTCTCACAGACATTGGTATGAATGTGCATTTGGGTGAGGATGTTTAGGGGTATACCAAGGATCAGGCTCCAGACTTGTTTACTAAGCTACGTCCTCAGTCCCTAAGTGAGCATCTTTCATCTATTGGCTTTTATGTAAATGGAACCGTATATGGTTATAGTATACTTTCTTTCTTTCTTTCTTTCTTTTTTTTTTTGTTTTTTGTTTTTTGTTTTATGAGACAGGGTTTCTCTGTATTGTTTTGGAGGCTGTCGGTGCAGCCCGGCCTCGAACTCACAGAGATCCACCTGCCTCTGCCTCCCGAGTGCTGGGATTAAAGGCGTGCGCCACCAACACCCGGCTATAGTATACTTTTCTTACCCAAGAGTGGCCCTGGGGATACTTGTTCCCATCTGGACCTGTCAATCTACCTTATTCACCTCAGGCTTAACTGATATTCCATATACTGTTCTTTCTCTTGTGGTACTCCAGACTCTCACCTGCATGTGTGTCTGTATGATCCCCCTGGAATTGGAGTTACAGACAGTTGTGAGCAGCCATGTGGGTGCTGGGAATTGAACCTGGGTCCTCTGGAAGAGCAGTCAGTGCTCTTAACTGCTGAGCCAACTCTCCAGCCCTCTCTTAGCACTTTTGCACAGGCTGTACCTCAGGATGAACAGCAGGTATTAGGAAGGTGATGCAGCATATTGAGACTCTGTAGAAGCTGCTTGTCTTAGTTAGGGTTTCTGTTACTATGAAGAGTCACCATGACCACAGCAACTCTAACAAAGGGAAACATTTAACTGGGGCTTGCTTACAGTTCAGAGGTTTACTCCATTATCGTCACGGCGGGAATCCTATGGAGGCATGCAGGCAGACATGGTGCTGGAGAAGTAGCTGAGCGTTCTACACCTGGATCTACAGGCAGCAGGAAGAGACAGTGAGCCATTAGCCTGGTTTGAGCTTCTGAAACCTCAAAGCCCACCCCCAGGGACATACTTCCTCCAACAAGGCCACACTTCCTAATATAGTACCACTCCCAGTGAACCCTAGGGGAGCCATTTTTATTCAGACCACCACACTGGGCTCATTCTCAGGTGTGAAAGCCGTGGCCAGAAATGGCACCTCTTTAGGAATGCAGATGTCACTAGGGTTCTGAGTGCCTGTCTAGCACTGAGTGATAGGCTGTGAGTGTACACAGTTACAGATCTACTTTGACCTTCTTTGGGTTACATTTCTCTCTTGCACCCTCTGTTAGTCTCTCCTCTATCTTGGGTCACCACCACAAACCACCACCACACACACATGCATGTGTGCACAAACCCACACCAGCCAAGACAGGTGGCATTTATAGACTGCTGGAGGTGTCTGACTTGGGAACACAGGAGTCATACTGCAAAGTGGGGTCTTTATAGGCCTTCTAGCCTCCCTTCTTGCTTTCTTTCCTACATTTCTTGACCAGGTGCCAGACCAGAGAATCCCCCAGAACATATCTTGCCACTGTCATGTGGCCAGTACATTGTACTCTCGCCTCATGGAGCAGGGCAGTAGTGGCCAGACTACCCAAAGAGTATTACTATGTTGGGGAGAGGGCAAAGTCCTTAATGGGATCTTCCTTATCCTTGAGTATTCATTCCCTGGGAATGAGGCTCTACCCACCACAGTGCACAGAGGGTTAGGATTGTGGCTCTGAGATAGTATATATCCTCCTGTGCCCTCTTGCCGCTAATTGCTATCCCTTGTCCTTGCTGGGTGAACAGTCTGAGGTCTTGTGCCCCCACTAGCTCCATGGACCAGCGACAGGTACGTTTCTTGGGCACACTCTCCCCAGTTGAACCCATACTGTGCCTGTCCCACTTGGGCGTGACCAGGGAGGTTGACAGCTGTTGACTGAAGCTGAGCTCATCCCTCTTCACAGCAGCAACGCAGGGTCCTTGGACAGACTACTCCCACCAGTGGGAACTGGGCGCTCACCCCGGAAGCGCACCACCAGCCAGTGCAAGTCAGAGCCACCCCTGCTTCGCACAAGCAAACGTACCATCTACACAGCCGGGAGGCCACCGTGGTACAATGAACATGGCACGCAGTCCAAGGAGGCCTTTGCCATTGGTAATAGCAGTGTGGGGTGATGCCTTCAGGGATTGGTCTACGTGATCAACCCCTCTGCAACTAATTGCAAGGTAAACCCTTCTACCCACAGGCTTGGGAGGTGGCAGTGCATCTGGGAAGACCACTGTGGCCAGGATGATCATTGAAGCTCTAGATGTGCCCTGGGTGGTCCTGCTGTCCATGGATTCCTTCTATAAGGTGAGGCCCCGTTCATCTCCCCCAGAGCACCTCCTTCCTATGACCCCTTTGCCCCTACAAATGTAGGCCTGTGGTCACTGGGCTTCCTCCCGCTCTCCTAGGTTCTGACGCAGCAGCAGCAGGAACAGGCTGCCTGCAACAATTTCAACTTTGACCACCCTGATGCCTTCGATTTTGATCTCATCATTTCCACCCTCAAGAAACTAAAGCAGGGCAGGAGTGTCCAAATACCCATCTATGACTTTACTACGCATAGCCGGAAAAAGGACTGGGTAGGCCCATGGTCTTGGGGCTCTGGAAGAGGCTGTAAGGGCCTGAGCTGAACACTGAAACTTCCTGGGTTCCTTTGCAGAAAACACTATATGGTGCAAATGTCATCATCTTTGAAGGTATCATGGCCTTTGCTGACAAGACACTGCTAGAGGTAAGGCGTTCCCATAAACACAATTCCTTTAAACACCCTACCCCATCCCCACGGCTTCCCACGGTCTGTGCTTTCTGAGAAGATTGCTTTCTGTACAGTGCTTCTAGATGAGCCCCATCTGGTGTATCCTAGACATGCACAGATGTTCTGTACCAACACCTAACTGACTACTACAGGGGGGTGTGGCTTCTGGGGACAATAGTTCCCTCTTCTACGTGTTGAGGACTGTACTTCTGTTTCCCCTGCTCTTGATATTCTTCCTTGTTGAGGAACAAACAAGGACTTAAGGCCGGTGAGTTTGAGGGACTTGGCTGCAAGGCCTCCAGGATACACCTGAATGTGACCCTGGTCCAGGCCAAGAGGAGTCTTACCAAGTCCACATGGCAGCCCCAAACCCCACATGGCTCCTTCAGGGCCCACCTAACACATGCTGATGGGAGGAGGCCACACCCCGAGCTCACAAAGCCCTAACCCTCCAGTGTTCGTGCGAGGTGTAATGAGTGAAGTCATATGTATATCACACTGCCAAGTCCCATTCCTGCCTGATTTGTCACTTGTGTCCATTCTGTACCCCATACCCACAATGCATCCCAATGCACACTTCCTGTGAATGCACCCTACATACACCAACGGTCAGGCCAATGGGAGTCTCGTGGGCAGCTGGCCCCCATGATCATGGCCCATAGATAATGAGCTGGTCATGATGCCACTCTGGTTCTGTGGATCCTGGCGCCTGTCTCAGCCCTGTGCACTGGCTTGTTTTCCCCCACTCAGCTCCTAGACATGAAGATCTTTGTAGACACAGACTCTGATATCCGACTGGTACGGCGGCTACGGCGGGACATCAGTGAGCGAGGCCGGGACATTGAGGGTGTCATTAAGCAGTACAACAAGTTTGTCAAGCCTGCTTTTGATCAGTACATCCAGCCCACCATGCGCCTGGCAGACATTGTGGTACCCAGAGGTGAGCCTGCCAGACTTGTCTTCCTGCCAGTGGGGCAGAAGGGGCCAGCAAGCTCCTGAGTTATCCTCTCTTTCTCCCTCTCCAGGGAGTGGGAACACAGTAGCCATTGACCTGATCGTGCAACATGTTCACAGCCAGCTGGAAGAGGTTCGTCACCCAAATAGCACCAAAGTCCCTGTCTCTCTGTTGTTACCCCCACAGCAGCATACTCACCCACCCCACCCCACATACCCCGCAGGTACCGGCTCTCAAGTGTTCTGATCCTGCTCCTTGAGCTTATTTAAATGGTGCAGCCCTCGGTGATAGGCAAGGGAACTTGGCCATGCATAGAAGGGTGCACTCCTGTCCCTCCCAACCCTGTGAGAGTAACAAGGGTGAGCCACTCTCCACTAGTCTAGGATTGTGGGTTCCAGCACCGAGTCCCACATCTTCCCTTCCTGCATGGGTCACTCTACAAGTGATTTTTTTTTCCTACTGTAGTTCCCACATTAAGTGGTTTAATGGCTGGGGTCTAGTGTCTGGCTACAGTTCTGCCCAGGCACTACTCCCACAGCCCCAGAGCCACACGTCCCTGTCAAGCTTGTTCCCAGTTTAGAGGTCCTTAGAAACTTGCCTCTTGCAGTTTGCAAACCCTGAGCTGTTTCCACATGGTGCTGTGGAGTGTCCATCACTGGGGGTTGGGGGTAGCCTGGCTGCTTGCCCTGGTCACTGATGCATCACCCCTTCCCTTGTGTCTCCCTGTGTTGCTGCCACAGCGTGAACTCAGCGTCAGGTAAGACTCCACAACTCTCTGCACAGATGGAGGCATTTCCAACATCCACATTGAGCTCCGGGTCAGCTGTCACCTAGCCAAGCAGACAGTCCATACCATATCGGCACTGTGGTGCAGCCTTGCTGCTGCTCCCCTTGCTAGCAGATAAGAACACTAATGTACAGAGAAATTAAGGAAATTTCCCAAGGTGTTTGTTTGTTTGTTTTGTTTTGTTTTTCTCAAGACAGGGTTTCTGTGAAGTCCTGGAATTCGCTCTGTAGACAAGGCTGGCCTCAAACTCAGAGATCTGCCTGTTTCTGCCTACAGAATGCTAGGATTAAAGGCACATACCACCACCACCTGACCTTTCCCAGGGTTATGTGGGGTTTTGTTTTGTTTTGTTTGCTTGCTTATTTTTTTTTTTCAAGACAGGGTTTCTCTGTATAGCTTTGGAGTCTATCCTGGCACTCGCTCTGTAGACCAGGCTGGCCTCAAACTCACAAAGATCCACCTGTCTCTGTCTCCTGGGATTAAAGGTGTATGCCCCCACTGACCAGCCCAGGGTTATGTTTTACCTGTGCTGGCCAGATGTTCATAGAGGCTCTTTCCCCATGCAAGCCTATCTTGGGGTCCAGTCATAGAGAACACAGCTGTCCTCCTGGGCCAGCCAACACTGCCACACATGATCCAAGACAGGGACCACACCGACATGTTCCTGGAATCATGAATAAACCTGGGTCAGCATCTAGGCTGCTGTATCTTGTAAAATGAACCATCCTGTGGGCCATAGGCTCAGTTGAATCTCCCTGGGGAGTGGGGAGTGAGGGCTTGGCTCTGCCTTCTCCACTCAGGCTCTGCCCTATCCTAGCTTAGTCTTCAAACTGCAGCACAACTCAGGCAGAAGGAGCAATGCTGGCATTGCAGCAGGAAGCTCGGATAAGCTGAGTTATGCCGTTATCCATTGTTGATCAAAGCCCAGGCAAGAGCTTTTTTCAGAGTTGGGAAGTTCCAGTTGAGCTACTATGAGCCCTCGTGGTCCACTGCATCATACCCCAGGAGTTCTGAGCCAGTGTTGGAAATGCCTCCAGGGCCAACGAAACAGCCCTGCTCCCTGTCCCTTGCATGAATCTCCGCTTGGCCTCTCCAAGACCAGGGTGCCACAGACCTGTGCGAAGGTCCCTTATAAAGCCTGAATCCTAAGAAAAATCTCCAGGCATGGCCAGCTCCACCTTATCCATTTTTCTGGTCAGACAAGGAAGTGGTGGCTAAACCCCTTGGTCTCCTTCAACTCCAGGAAGTTAACTGGTGAGCAAGAGGGGAAGATGCCTGGGTGTAGGTGGCGCTCCACCCTCAGGCGCCAAGGCTGTCAGTGCCAAGACAGCTAACCAGCCTCCTGCCTCAAGTCTTTAGCCAACTGGTAGCTGCAGGGTACCTTTTGTAGGGACTCGGCTGCTCTTCCCACTAAGTGTTCTTCTCTCTGTTCTTTTCCTCTCTGTAAACCTGTTTCCTGCCTTGTTCCCTCCCTGAACACGCTCTTCACCTGGCGAGCAGAGGAAGCTGCGTTGGGATATGTGAGCAGAGCGAGCTCTGATTTGTGCTGCGCTGTGTGCTGCCCCACACCCCCCCGCACGACTGCTCCTGAACTTGTGCTTCAGTGACCCCCTCCCTTCCATGATCACTGTTTGCACCCCCTAACCAGCCCTCCTTCCTTCTGCCTCACAAGTCCTTGTCCCTTTTCCCCCTCCAGGCGTGGGTTTTGGGTGGGGTTAGCCTTTGGCATTGAGCCCTCCCTGCTTTGCCCTCCCTCCCAAGAGGGGCTGCATACTACCTGGGGGGGATGGGTCTAAGTGGAACTTGACCCTACAACTTACATATTGCCCCCAGGAGAAGTTGGGGACAAGCTGTCCATTTGGAGGCTGAGATCTGTTCCTACAGTAAGCTCCCTTCTTCCCTATGTCTGGCCTCTCTACTTTATCGGAGCCTAGGAGGGGACACCTCATGCCTCAGCACCCCCAGCATCCTCACTGAAATGGTGTTCAGTGTTCAGAATTAAGCTTTCTCACTTTTGCCTGGCGTTTTAGGTGACGAGGCATCTTTCATGGGTCAGCCATAGCCAGCAGACAGCTCCCACCCTGCACATGCCCCTGCCCCCATGGTGATGTTCAGATGTCCTCTGGGGCAGACGGGGACTTTTGGATAAGATATGCCAATCGATTTGTGTCCCTAGGGCCGCGCTGGCCTCAGCTCACCAGTGCCATCCCCTTCCCCAGACACTGAGTGTCCTCAAGAGTACACCCCAGGTACGAGGCATGCATACCATCATCAGGTAAGGGCCCATTTGTGGAGTGCTACCCCCCCCCAGTTCTGCTCCATTCCATCCCCCAGGTTCTGGCCCATCCCTTTCTAAAGCCTGCTTATTCTACCATCAGGGACAAGGAGACTAGCCGGGATGAATTCATTTTCTACTCCAAAAGATTGATGAGGCTGCTTATTGAACATGCGCTGTCCTTCCTACCCTTCCAGGTGTGGGTTTGTGGGGAAGAAGGGGTAGAAGTAGTCCTGCCATCCTGATTTGGGTTTATGATGGGGGTTCAGCCCTGGCTGTTCATAGATACACCCCCCCCCAATTCACCATGCAGGACTGCACTGTACAGACCCCACAGGGGCAGGACTACGTGGGAAAGTGCTACGCTGGAAAGCAGGTGAAGTGACAATGGCAATAGTTGCTGGGGTAGGAAGCTATAGGTCGGAGGCATCCAGGCCTGCAGCTTACTCAGCCTCCCTTCCCCGACAGATCACCGGAGTGTCCATTCTGCGTGCAGGGGAAACCATGGAGCCTGCGCTGCGTGCTGTGTGCAAGGATGTGCGCATCGGCACTATCCTCATCCAGACCAACCAGCTCACAGGGGAGCCCGAGGTGTCCGGCCAGGGAGGACTTGAGGGTCACGGTGATGCCCAAGCCTATGGGGAGAAGCCTGATGTGGGTGCCCTATTCTGACCTTACTGTCAATTCTAGCTCCACTACCTGAGACTCCCCAAGGATATTAGTGATGACCATGTGATCCTGATGGACTGCACAGTATCCACAGGTGCTGCAGCCATGATGGCTGTGCGTGTACTCCTGGTAAGTGGGCTTGGGTGGGTTGTAGGTAGGATCCCTTGGTGTTGGAACTTAACCTGTCCCCATGCTACACAGGACCATGATGTGCCTGAGGACAAGATCTTCTTGCTGTCCCTACTCATGGCAGAGATGGGTGTGCACTCTGTGGCCTATGCTTTCCCACGTGTGAGAATCATCACCACAGCTGTGGACAAGCGTGTCAACGACCTTTTCCGTATCATCCCAGGCATCGGTGAGCATGTCATAGCCCAGGGGCATGGCTGATGACCCAGTAGAACCCAATCACACAAGGCCATTTTCTTTTTGCAGGGAATTTTGGTGATCGCTACTTTGGGACAGATGCAGTTCCCGATGGCAGTGATGAGGAAGAGACAGCTTCTGTGGGTTAGTTCCCAGTCTGAGCTACCCTTACTTCTCTATCCTGCCTCCTGGATTGCAGACAGCATATTAACTTATTTGAATTAAAAACTGTTACCAATGATACTCAGTTTTCACATTTTATAAAATAAATAAAGCTTCAGAAAATGAAGGTGTGGCACAGTGTATTCTGGGTGGGCTTGGCAGAGGCAGTCTCCCCAAGGTGTATGTAAGTATGGCCCCCAAAGACTCATGTGTTTGAATGTTTGGCCCAAAGGGAGTGGCAATATTAGGAGGTATCACCTTGTTGGAGGAAATGTGTCTGTCCTCTGTGGGGGTGGGCTTTGAGGTCTCATATACACTCAAGCTACGCCAGTGCACAGGCTCCCTCAGCTGCCAGCAGAACAAGATGTAGAACTCTCAGCTACTTCTCTAGCGCCATATCTGCTTACATGCTGCCTGATGGTGATGGACTACACCTCGGAACTGTAAACCAGGCCCAATTAAATGTTTTCCTTTTCCTTTGTAAGAGTTTCTGTGGTCATGTGTCTCTTCACAGCAATTGAAACCGTAAGACGGGAGTTGAGAATGAGGAGAAAGGTGCAGCTTCTGTCCAGTGGGACAAGGTAGTCTTTTTTGTTTTGTTTTGTTTTTCCAGACAGGGTTTCTCTATATTGTTTTGGAGACTGTCCTGGAACTCGCTCTGTAGACCAGGCTGGCCTCGAACTCACAGAGATCCGCCTGCCTCTGCCTGGGATTAAAGGCGTGCGCCACCATCACCGGCTGGGACAAGGTAGTCTTATCCCTGCATTCTACTTTCCTTAAGAGTTGTAGCTTATTCATGCATTGCCTGATGGATCTAAGGGAAGAAGTGGGGCCTCCAAAAGAATCACACAGCTCAGTGCCCACATGACCTGGACCCAGACACAGGGCTACCTAGGGTTCTGAGTGTTATAGGAGGCAGCTTTTGTGACTACTTCCTTCCAACCACATTTATACTACCAAGAGACCCAGAAGAAGCTGGTGTGTGGGCAGCTATGGCGAGGACTGAGCCATGGAAGACTCAACTCCATGATGGTCAGAGCCTCAGGTTTTCAGAACCAAGATCTCATATCCAGCCCTGCCTTGCTGCTACTAGACAAACTTCTCTGGAAACTGTCAGGCCTTTTTTTTTTCTTTTTCTTTTTTAAGATTTATTATGTACACAATTTTCTGTCTGCATGTAACCCTGCAGACCAGAGGAGGGCACCAGATCTCATTACAGATGGTTGTGAGCTACCATGTGGTTGCTGGGAATTGAAATCAGGACGTCTGGAAGAATAGACAATGCTTTTTTTGTTTTTTGTTTTTGTTTTTTTTTGAGACAGGGTTTCTCTGTGGCTTTGGAGGCTGTCCTGGAACTCACTCTGTAGACCAGGCTGGTCTCAAACTCACAGAGATCCAACAGCCACTGCCTCCCCAGTGCTGGGATTAAAGGTGTGCACCACCACCGCCAGGCTAGATAGTGATCTTAACCACTGAGCAATCTCTCCAGTCCTACTGTCATGTTGATTCTGTCCTAATGACGTGACAGACGTGTACATGGACAGCTAATTGGATATGAACTATGGGTCTCTGAACTGTGACAGGTAGGCTGGGAGCACCCAAACTCTATTCAAGCTTGGTGTTTCTTTTTCCTGCTTGTCATGAGATGGGAACAGGAAGTTGCTGGGTAGAGGCTAGCCTACAATGGTGAGGAGGTAAGGTGAGTGGTTTGCTCTAGGGGCAGAAGTCAGGAGGGCCTTCTGTGTAACCTGGCTCCACTCCTAGGTCTCCAGGCTCTGTCCAATGGCTCGTTCATTCCTGCATTTTAATGCTGGCAAACTGAAGAAAGACTAGTCCTTCCAGCCAGGTTTTCCCAGATGAGAAATTTAAGAATACTATGAGAAGCTAGGTAGGGGCCAGGTACTTCTTAGGAGGGTTCTACCCAAGTCCAACCAGGATGATTGGTTCCTGAGAACAAATCAAACTGATACGAGTGTGTATAAAATCCAGCTACCTTAGCAGGGTACGAGGGACTAACAGGTTCTTTTCTTCATTCTGGACAATGCATTTAGAAATGTGGTGTGTTGGAACTGAGGGGAGGGATGTTCACAGCTAGACAAGGAAAGAGGAAATGAGGCCTCAGCCCACAGGGGACCCAGCAGGGGCCAATATCAGGTGCCATTTCAGTGCCAAATTCATGAAGAGAATTAGGCAGGAATCACTAATAAGACACACATCTGGTCTGCAGTGAAAACATTTATTTTACAACAGCTATCTTTATTTTAGGCCAACATTTAGACAGGTTACCATGCGGAACCACCACAGCTTTCAGCTTGGCCTTTGGAGGTATGCCAAAGTCAGTTAGCCTGGAGGGAGGAGGGGCAAACAGCAGCTTTTATTCTGCTGTATACAGACTTCAGTTGTGGGTAAAACCAGTACAGGCTTTCCATGCATTTGCATTCAGTTCTTAAAAAATATCTTTAAGTGAAAATTTGTTCCCCCAACTTACCATGAGACACTAACCTAGAAAACGATCTACTAGCAGCACAGTCGATGGGGCATTTGACCAGGGCCCTTTCTTGGCTGCAGAAAGCCCCTGCCCAGGCTACCCTTTACAAGCACCTTGGTTACTGATTTTAACGGGTGCTCATAAATTGGTCTTAGTGTTTCAAGAGAGAAAATGTCCTAGACCTCATATATTTGAGGGTTAGGTGAGTTTGGTGTGGTCCCCAGGGATATATTTGGTATGGTCATCCTTGTGCCCAACATACACAGCTGAAACCAAATGCTGGCCAGGGCCCATGTAGTGCATTCAGGTACATGTACCTATATGTATGCAATAAGCTTAGGGTTTTCCTTTTGGGTTTTCCCAAGAGACCCTACCCCTGCCCAACACTCCAAGAAATCACAGGCTGTTTTGGAGCCGACTTTTATTGTACTTGTTGCTTTGCCACCAAACAGCAGCATGACAGGCCTGCTGCGTGATATATACATATACACATATGTACACACACCAACACACACCATAGCCCACATTCACAGCATATGACAACACATACTGTGCTTGTGAGGATAGTAAAGATGTAGCTTTTGCTATTTCCATAGGAGGATAACTCAACCAAAATAAAAGGAACAGGAACAGGCCAGTGCTGGGACACATGGGTTCACAGCTCAAAACACTGGAAAAAGAATGAGATCAGTCATGTTTTACATTGTCACAGCTATCCCTCAATAAAAGGTGCACTGAAGGCCAAAGGAAGATGGTCATGGCCCACCAGTTCTCCGTACCACAGCACCTAGACCCTCCAGGGACAGCTTGAATGATTAGGTCACCATCTCTGAAGACTACCAGCTGCAACAATGGCAGCTCTTTTGCACAAGGTTCACCTGGAATAAAAGCCATGGGTCAGCAGGACAATGGGCACTGATGTTAGTAAAACCTGGCATCTGAACATCTGAGAAATGACTGGCTTTATGAGTTGGGAACAAACCCAGAAACCAACAACTTGGGAAAGTTTCCTGCTAACCAGAGTAAGCACTGATTTCTTTTTCTAACAGGTCCCCATTGGGTGCTGGCTGTGTTAACCAAACATCAGAAGACTAGGGTTATAAACATTGCACAGAATTATCTAAAGTAATTTAAAAATACAGTCAAAGGAAGACAAAGAAAGACCACATCATTGGGCACAAACAGAAATCTACACTCTAGCCTTGGTGAGATGGATCCCCAGGGTCTCTCAGAAGTGGTCCTGAAGGGATATCCACTGCACTGGATGAACTTCCATGCACAGACTCCAACACTCCCTTGGCAATACACCACAGCACCATCCACATTGCTTACTGGTACAGGAGTTTGGGGAGTATGTGTGTGTCTTAATAGTATTTGGTCAGGAATAGTTAGGCTGATCCTGAGACTCAACAGTTATGCTTAGGTCAGGGCAAATGAAATCAAGGAGACCTTAGATCAACACAGTAAAAACCCTGCAAGAAATCTGCATACAGGGATAGGTCAGGGAGTTCACTGGCCTTGGCAATCACTATTATCATCTTGAAACTGTTCTACATATTGATGGTTTCAAGTTCAACATGATTTATTTAGCTTTACAGATTCCAAAAGACACTAGGTTCAACTTCTGTGCTCTCACCGAACAGCACAAGTCCTAGTTCAGGACCTGGCTCACTGGGATGTCAGGGGAAGGGCCACAGAGCTACATGCAGGAGGGATGTGCTACCAGATTGCAGCTCTCTACTCACCAATCACCTACAACTCTGAATCTGATTCCTGGTCATTGTAGAAAAGGGCACCAAGACTAGTGTACTGAGACCAGCACCCCAGATTGCCCAGTGGACTCTCTTCTTCCACTGTTCCAACAATGGGTCCAGCAACGAATTTCTCATTCTTCTACTAGGTTGATTTGAGTCATGGTCTTACTGTGCAAAGCCTACAACTCAAGGTCATCCTAGTGCTGGGATTACAGGCATGTCCCACTACATCTAGCCATAGGCCCGATGTTTGCAAATTATTTCTGAGTATGTTAATGAATACCCCTAAAATCCTTTAAAGCAAAACAAACCCAGGGAAGGACCTTGAGACCAGCTTTTGGCTCACACAGTTCTCCTATAGGACCAGCTAGGAACCCTGGCATCAATGTTCCCAGGACCTGGATAGGTACCCTCAATCACTGCCAGGTTTGCTGCCTCTTCTTGCAACTTCCTGTCAGCCTGATCTGGTCCCTGAAGGCCCTGGTGAGCTGTGGCCAGGAGGTGGACAGAGTGAGTTTCGGGAACACACGGTGGTTTGTCTGAGTCACTTAGCCCACCACATGAGCTCTCTCCTTCTTCATCTGTACTGGAAATGCAGATGGTCAGCAGCAGCCAGCAGGAAGGCTCTGGAGGAACCTGGCTCATTGAAGTCTGGTGCAGCTAATCCAGCTAACTGTAAGAGGGGAGGTGTTTCCAAATCCCTGGTAACCATGTTTTTCAACTCCACCCACCATGGTACCCTGTGACCAAGATTGAAATACTGACTAAAGAGAGGTTCACAAAGGAATTCTGTGGCTTGCAGCTGGCATCCCAGGTCAAGTGACTGTTACCATAGCTTCCCTAGAAGCCAACCCTTCTGATCCAGGGTCACCAGGGACCAGTCACCTACCCCAAGAACCCAACACTTCAGCTCTGCCAGAGGCATTGATGATGACAAGTGGAAGTGAAGGCAAGTGGGGGGTGGATGGAGCTCTGGCAAGCACAGGGAGGAGGTTCTGGATCCTGGGCCTCAAACTCTTTACAAGCAGCTATATGCCACCCACATATAGCTCAAAGACTCAAAGACTTTCTGACTATGACTAAGTGACAGGTGCTACCATTTGTGGTTCCTAAAGTCCAAAAACAAGATTTAAAAGGTTGGCTTGAAGGAATGTGGAAGATGACCCAGGAATGAGGGAAGGAGGCTGTGGCCCCGTCAATCCAGCTTTTGACCTGGAAAGGTGCAGAACAGAGACAAATGATTTCCCACACACCAGCAAGGGACATGGCTCCAATGATAGGCTCTCAGTCCACAAGGCCAGGAGACCCAAGATAGAAACATGACACAGAGTGTGCTCCCACTTTCAGAAGGGGCATACCTGCACTCTCCATAGCAGATCTAACACAGGAAACCTGTCACGAGGCCGAGTGATGATGCAGAGACCCTATGAAAGCTTCCCAACACGAACACTGTGCAAACGACTGATGCTGGTGGTGCCTGGGAGGATGGGGCCCAGCTCCCTCCTTCGCAGGTGGAATCAGAACCCTGTCTGCAGCCTTGAGGATGAGATCAGAGCCATGGACTAGACCATGTCACAGGACACAGAGGCCAACATGGAGATGTAGCTCCAGGTGCCTACCTGACTCCTGTAAGCACAAGGAGACAGCTGAACCTCACTGGACCCACTTGGCTGAAAACCCAAGAAAGCACTACCATCCAGTTAATTCAGCCCAGTTGCAGCACATCCACAACACAGACACTGAACATAACCCATACATGCTATTAAAAAAAGGATAAAACAGAAGACCGTAGCTACACTGCTTTAAATACTGCATGCTACGCACTTCATGTATCAAGGTTTGACAGATGGGTGGGCTTAGAGGAGGTGGGAGGGGCCCTGACCAGCCACAGCAGGTCAGGTTGACAGCTGCCTCCCCATCTCAGTGACTACAGTTCATGATTCTAAGGTTGCAGTGGCCAGGTGCTGATTCATCCTCTAATCACAGCCTCTCCTGAATTTAGTTGAACCCGTCGGTGTGGTAGCTGGGGTGGGAGTCAGCCGTCAGCTGGGTGGTCTCTGTGGCAGATGCAGGCTGTATGACGATCGGTGTGTCTGTAGCCTCTGAAAAGTAAGCAGGCAGCCTCATGGCACACGGGCAGCAGCCGTATGTGTGCCCATCGACACAGTCCTTGTATCACGTCACTCGGTCACCTGGACAGACACTCAGGGGAGAGGCTACTTGCTGACCTCCACCCAACACACTTTCCTCAGCGGTCTCAGGTCAACCAGCCCCCGGCCCTCCCCACCTGCCTGTCACCCTCCCAACCTTTGGTCCCTCAGATCTACGGCTACCACAGTTTACGGGCAGGAACAGCTCCCTGCACCTGCTTTACCTCAAGTGTCCACGTTCACACCTCAACAGTCCCAGATGCCACCACAAACACTCTCGGCACAGTGTCAGTGCCCTCCTGTTTGACAAGACAGTTGACACCGTTCAGGGCCAGTGCTGGCTCCACCCCACACACTCACAGGGTCCTGGGGTGGGCACTTACCCCTCTCATCAGACTGCAGCTGTGCCTCCAGGTCTTCAGGTGATACGTAGAACTCCGTCTCCTCACCCTCAGGTGCCTTGGGCTTGCACTTCCCACAGCAGCAGTTAAAGCAACAGCACAAACAGCAGCAGCAGTAGCAGCACGTGAGGAGACCACAGACAACAAACAGGGCCTGGGAAAGAGAATACCAGCACTGTACAGCCTCAAGAGCCCATAGATCATAGCACAAGAACCACCCTGGAGAAGGCAGGACAGGAGCTACAGAATAAATGGCTTATGCTAAGGGTATCTTTCAGGAGAAGGCTGTAGACAGAGTAAACTTGAAGGATGAAGGCAGGAAAATTGAGTAAGAAGTAATTTGTAAATATGGGATTGAGCACAAGCTGCCATGAGGTTCTATTGAGTTTGCCTGCTTTTCTGAACTCAGAAAGGATTAATTTGCCCTTTTTGTTCTCTCTTTTTTTTTCTTCCTGTCCAGATGTTGGCCAGAGCCTAAGTGTATGTTTTCTTTAGTACTCTGGGCTCCTTACTGTTTCTCTGAAGTCTCACTCCTAACTTTCTGCAACACAGCTATCTGCTGGTCTGCAATGTAGCTGACCTCCATGCTAACTCAAATGGCATGGCTCTCTCCCTCTTAAATTTCCACCTATAAATCTATAATGGATTTCTCTCTAAAATTATAAAGATTGAAGACTAACCAGTGAAAGCCAAAATCAGGCTTCCTATACTTAAGGGCTAGATAGACCACTCTGACTTTGTATATGGCTGACAAACAAGGAAAGCAAAACTTAAAATAAATTAAAAAATAAAATAAAACAAACTATTTAAGTTAAGCATTTCTAAAGATTTTTAAGTCTCCACTGATAACAAAAAGGGTCCCCACACCATGATGAAAGAATTGTTTCCTATCTCAATCGTTTTAGTAACTTGGCACCATGCTTCAGAGAAAATCATGTCGATGCAAAATGGTTCTGCACCATGTACACTGCACTGTGCCTGCCATGAATGGGCCAGGATGCCCAGTTGCACAGCACATAGAGGACAGCTCCAGACCAGAAACCATGTCAACAGAAAAGAGGCATAAATCTTTCAGCGTCTATAGTCCTACTGGGCACTAGAATTTTCAATGCCTTCAGCGTGGCAGCCCACAATGACTGCTGCTACATTCTCACCTTGGCCCACCAGCTGGAGAGTACGAAGTAGGTGTTGACGTTCTCCTCCCCAAATTGCTCGGCCACATAGAGCCCCAGCGAGCCGTACTTGTCATAAATGTTTCTTTTCGTGGCATCTGTCAGGATGGCGTGGGCGTTGTTAATCTCCTTAAACTTGTCTGCAGCCTCTGGGTTATCGGGGTTCTTGTCAGGGTGATATTTCAGGGCCAGCTTCCTGTAACCAAAACCATTTCCTGGCTCTACCTGGGTCCTGCATTTCACAATTCTCCACCAGAGTCCAGGGGAACAGATGCTTACCCATTAGCATTTCAATTTTCAACTTTCCAGAGATCTGGCTCATCAGAGTGAGAAAGAAAGTTTCTGTAATTGCTTTAGGGTAACCCCCCTACTAGGATACATGCACAAGGGAGAGTCCTGAGATACTAAGGGTAGGGTATAGCTTACAATACATTGACTCCTGCTTTCAAAGGGAAATCTACTGCCAACCCCTAGTGTCCTGACCAGCCAATGTGATGGCAGAGAAGTACATAACAATGAGATTCTAGTACAACATAAATAGAAGACCACAAGAGTGTCTGAGGTAAAGATTCCCTGGCTCCCTTTCTAGGTTACCATATAATGCTGCACCTAAAAGCTATATTCTTCAAGTCCAGTCAAACAGTCATGACAGGAAGAAAAACAAAAAACAAAACCACAAAAAACCCTCATCATTTTGTTAAAGCACAGCATTTTTAGCACTATAAAGGCTCCAACTATGCCTAAGCTGCCATGGTCTGAGGATAGTTGACAATATCCTACAAGTGCGCTTACTTTTTTGCTGCTAGAGAACACCAGTGTAACTGGGTTTGTTTGCTTGAGAAAGGGCCTCTCTACATAGCTCTGGCTGCCCTGGAACTTAGTATGTAGACCAGGCTGGCCTGAAAACACAGATACCCTTAAGCCTCTGCCTCCCAAGTGCTAGGATTAAAGGAATGCACCACCATGTATGGCCAGTGTAACAGTTTTAAGTTTTAGGATTAAACTATACATGTAAGGATGAAACACAACTGCCAGGAATCTGCCAAGAAAAACATATGTCATGGTTCTTGGTAAAATATACAAGAAACCAGATGAGGATCTGTTTTTCCTTGGAACACAGCTGCTTACCGATAGGACTTTTTAATGTCATCCGAAGTTGCATTCTTGTCCAGCCCAAGAACATGATATAATGATTCCCCGGAGGTAGAGAGTGAGCGCTGCCTCTGGTCAGCCATGTTAGATTAATCTACAAGAGAAGATAAATGAAAATATGGGGGAAAAGTCAAAATATGGGCTAGCAAAATGATCAGTAAATAAGGGCACTGCTGTCATGCCTGACAAGTTAAATTCGAGCCCCAAAACTCACATGGTAGAAGAGAAAAGTAACTCCTAAAAGTTATCCTCTGACCTCCTAAGTGTGCTGTGGTACACATGTCCTCCATCTGCCCCACAAATAAACATGTGGGGCAGGATTCTGAAAACTGAAGATTTGTTAAATAATTCAATCCTTAGAGTAAAATGCAAAGAGGGGGCCGGGGTGGCATGCAGCTCAGTGGCAGATGACTTGCCTAGTATGCAAATTAGGCACCAATCAAAATTTCAAGCATACCTGTATCTACGTCCACACATACAGAGCAAAAAGGTATATAGCTACAAAATTTAAAGAAAACAAAGCAAAAATTTATGCTAGATGCAGTAGTACATGCCTGTAACCCCAGCTATTTGGAAGACTGAGGTAAAAGGATCTAATTTGAGGCCATATCCTCAGTTAAAAAAAAAAAGACCCTTTTGCCTTTAAAAACCAGTAATAAAACCTTAAAGAAATGGAATGGAAGGAAACAATAAAATATGAACAAAAGACGGAGGAGTAGTAGATGGGAAAGGAACTGGAGAAGAGGGAGGGAAAACTGTGGTTGGCATATAAAATAAATAAATGTTAATTAAATGAAAACAAAAGCCAAAAAAAAAAAAAAAAAAAAAAGGACTGATCAGAGATGAGGAAACCAGGCCCTGGAACCTAAAATACTCATTTAGAAGTTACTTGGTCGCCGGGCGTTGGTGGCGCACGCCTTTAATCCCAGCACTCGGGAGGCAGAGGCAGGCGGATCACTGTGAGTTCGAGACCAGCCTGGTCTACCGAGCGAGTTCCAGGACAGCCTCCAAAGCCACAGAGAAACCCTGTCTCGAAAAACCAAAAAAAAAAAAAAAAAAGAAGTTACTTGGTCATTTTTGTTTGTACTAAGCACTTCTTTAACTTCTATTGGCAAAATGACACCTGTATCTATTCTCAATTTCAGAAGTGTCCTAAAAGAAAGAAGTTTCTTCTTCTCCTCCTCCCTTTTTTCTTGAGACATGGTTTCTCTGTGTAGCCCTGACTGTCCTGAAACTCTGAGATCTGCCTCTGCATTCCAAGGTCTAAGATTAAAGTGTGCACTACCCCAGCCAAACTAAAGAATTTTTTTTCCCAAACAGGGTTTCTCTGTATTGTTTTGGAGGCTGTCCTGGAACTCTCTCGGTAGACCAGGCTGGCCTTGAACTCACAGAGATCCGCTTGCCTCTGCCTCCTGAGTGCTGGGATTAAAGGCGTGCACCACCACTGCCTGGCAAACTAAAGAATTTTTTGCCATGTAATAAATCAGTACTGTTTGCATAAGTGTATTCCCACCTATCCTCAAAACACTGATTAAGAATCATCTATAGCCATGTTCCCTGAACTGCCATTCTTCAGATTCCAAATAAAGTCCTTTATACTGATTGACAAAACAGGAAGCAATAAAATAGAAACAACAGAGAAAATTTAAAAAGACAAAAGTTGACACCTTAAAAAAAAAGACTGTGTGTGTGACACTGACACACAAGCATATGCCACAACACACACGAAAGGGTCAGAGACCAACTTGTGGGAGTTCATTATGTATGTATGCATCTATGTGTAGGTAAGTGCACAGAGTGCAGGTATCTGGGGAGACTAGAGGCAGTGGATCCCTTAGAGCTGGAGTTATAGATGGTTGTTAGCCACCCAAGTGGTTGCTGGGAACTCATCTCTGGTCCTCTGCAAGAACAGTACAAACCTAACTGAGTCTGTTTTCCAGCCCAATTGTATCCATCTTTTAATATAAACCCTTGTTTGTAACCTTGAAGGCATCAGACTGAGACTACCTATAAACCCTGAAGGATTTCAAGTGGGGACAAGATGAAGAGTTCAAGATTAGGATGTGCAGAAGACTGTCTTGAAAGTCTTCTCATATTGAGGCTGAAAAAAAGCAACCCATTAGGAGGAAGAGTCTCAAGAGCACACAAGAGTCAGAGACACACCCATTCCCACTGGAGGAACCTCACAAAGACACCAAGTTAAGCCACATCATACACACTGGGCCTGTGCTTGTCATTTCAGTCTCTGGGATCCTATTTGAGCCCTGCTTAATTGATTCAGTGGATCATGTTCTCCTGGTATCCTTCAACTCCTCTGACTCCTAAAAGTCTTTCCTCCTCCTATTCCTCAAGGTTCCCCAATCTCCGAGAGGGGGGACGCAATGGAGATCTCCAATTTAGACTCCGCTCAGAATAACGTCTGGCTGTGGGTCTCTGCACCAGATGACTCCATCTGCTACTGAAGGAAGCCTCTCTGATGACAACTGGACAAGGCTCCCACCTATGAATATATGAGACTATCATTAGGAATCACTTCATTAATTATTTTTTAGTCTGTCTGGTTCTACTCTCTGTCTCTGTGCTAGCCAGTCTCCAGTTCAAGTTAAACCAAATACTGATTGACCACTCCCACAGCTTCTATGTCACCATTGCCTCAGGACATCCTGTAGGCAGGACAGGTTGTAAGTCAAGATTTTAGTGATTGGGTTGGTGTCCAGGTTTCTTTCCACAGCTTGCAAAGTGCCTTCTCACACGGAAGAGACTAGAATGTAGGGGTAAGGCTCCAAGCCCACATCAGCTCAACCTCTATATATTAAATTGCTGTGTGGAAGTCTTTGGCAATTGGGCTCCTCTTCCAGTTTTCAGAGAGTGACCTTCTGTCCTAGCATCAGCTGGGGTTTAGAGATCTTCACTGGACCTCTTTAGCCAACAACTCAACCAAATGTAACCCAGTCCCACCACTGGAAGCCTTGCCTGGCTACAAAAGATGGACAGTTTAGACACTGCATCCTCTATTATGTGGCATCCTTTCTCTAGTGTCAACCTCATAGATCTTAGGAAATGTTGCAGGATATTCCTTTACACTGTGTGAAGATATTTCACTATGCTTGGTTTAATACAGAGCTGAATGGCCAATAGCTAGGCAGGAAGAGTTAGGTGGGACTTTTGGGGACAGGGAGGACTCAAGAGAAGAAAGGGCAGAGAAAGCAGTAAGGAGAAATGATGTAATGAGCCACACAACAGAACATAGGTTAAAATAGATGAGCTAATTTAAGTTGTAAGAGCTAGTGGAAGGCGGGCGTGGTAGCGCACTCAGGAGGCAGAGGCAGGAGGATCGCTGCCTCGTCTATAAAGAGAGCTCCAGAACAGCTAGGGCTGTTATACAGAGAAACCCTATCTCAAAGCCCCACCCTAAAGAGCTAGTGGGAGAAGCTGAAGCTAAGGCCAAGCTTTCATAATTAATAAATCTGTGTCATTATTTGGGAGCTGGCAGTACAAAGAAACAACTTGCTACAAGTTTTCACTTAACTAGGTTTCTATACCACTCTGCATGTGTCCACCAATTCCAGCTGTCCCTCCCAACACTCTCTCTTCCCAAATGATCCTTCCCACTTCCAGTCCACCCACAGAATCTATTCTATTTTCCCTTTCCCAAGGAGATCCATGCTTCCTCCCATAGCTGTCCTCTTTATCTAACCTGCCTGGGCCTATGATTGTAGTTTGGTTACCATTTACTTAGTAGTTAATATTCACTTATAATATATACCACATTTGTCTTTCTGGGTCTGGGCTACCTCACTCAGAATGATTTTTTTTCTAGTTGCATCCATGTGCCTGCAAATTGCATGTTGTCCCCCTGTCCCCAAAGTGCTGAGTAACACTCTACTGTCTAAAATGTATCTCATTCTTTATCAAGTCTTCAGTTGTAGGACATCAAAGTTGTTTCCAGTTTCTAACGATCATGAATAAAGACACAATAAACATAGTTGAGTCCTTGAGGTAAAATGGAGTATTAATTGGACATATGCCCAAGAGTGATATAGATGAGTCTTTTTTTAAAAATATTTTATTTATTGTGTATACAGCCTTCTGCCTGCAGGCCAGTAGAGGGCACCAGATCTCATTCAAGGTGGTTGTGATCCACCATGTGGTTGCCGGGAATTGAACTCAACCTCTGGAAGAACAGTCAGTGCTCTTAACCTCTGAGCCATCTCTCCAGCCCCTTAGATGAGTCTTGAGGTAGAGCAATTCCCAATTTTCTGAGCAACTGCTTTATCGATTTCCATAGTGGTTGTGTAAATTTGCACTCCCACCAACAATAGTGTTTCCTTTGCTGCAAACCCTCGCAACATGAGCTGTCACTTGTATTACTGATCTTAGTCATTCTGATGGAATCTAAAATGTAGTTTTGATTTGCATTTCCTTGAAGACTAAGGACATTGAACATTTAAGTATTTCTCAGCCATGTTTTATTCCTCTATTCAGAATTCTATTTAGATCTATACCCCCATTCTAATTGAATTATTTGGTTTTTATTATCTAGTTTCTTGAATTCTTTATGAGTTTTGGCTATTAGACATTTATCAGATACGAAGTTTGTAAAAATCTTTTCCCATTCTGTAGACTGCCTCTTTGCCTGATTGATGGTATCCTTTGCCTTGTAAAAGCTTGTAAGTTTCATGAGGTCCTATTCATTACTGATCTTAGTGCCTGCAATATTGGCATTATGTTCACAAAAATGTCTCCTGTGCCAATGAATTCAAGGCTGCTCCTTACTTTCTCTTGTATCAGGTTCAGTGTGTCTTTATTTTTATTCACTCATTCATTCATTCATTTATTCATTTATTGGTTTTTCAAGACAAGGTTCCCCTGCATAGCTTTGGAGTCTGTCCTGGCACTAGCTCTGTAGACCACGATGGTCTCAAACTTACAAAGATCTGCCAGCCTCTGCCTCCCAAGTGCTGGGATTTAAGGTATGTGCCACCCCCCGACTTTTTTTTTTCTTAAGATTTATTTATTATGTATAGTGTTCTGCCTGCATATATGCCTGCAGGCGAGAAAAGGGCACACAATCTTATTACATATGGTTGTGAG